CCTGTCGAGGTTACTGGTGACTCTGGTGCTGCTGAGGGTGCTGAGCCTGGGGGTGCTGACTCTGGGGGTGCTGAGCGTGTGGGTGCTACGCCTGGGGGTGCTGAGCCTGAGGGTGCTACTACTGGGGGTGCTGAGCCTGAGGGTGCTGAGCCTGGGGGTGCTACTACTGGGGGTGCTGAGCCTGGGGGTGCTGAGCCTGGGAGTGCTACGCCTGGGGGTGCTACGCCTGGAGCTGCTGAGCCTGGGGGTGCGGAGCCTGAGGGAGCTGGGCCTGCTCGTGTGGCGTCTGGCGGTGCTGAGCCTGGAGGTTCTCCGGGTGCTTCGTCTCGGCGGGAGCCACTCTCTCCACAGGAGCTGCGCGAGTGGTTTGCCCGGCGCTGGAGGCGTGCTGCTGGAGCTGGAGGTTCTTCGGCTGCTGAGGGTGCTGGTGCCGCGGGTCCCGAAGGTGCTCGTACTGGGAGTACTGGAGCTGCTGGGGCTGCGGGTACGACTGGAGCTGGAGCTGCTGAGGGTGTTGGCGCTGAGGCTACTGCTGTCGGTCCTGGAGGCGGTCCTGCTGGGGGTGCTGGAGCTGGAGGTACTGCTGGCGCTGGTGCTGCCGCTGGGGGTACTGGTGCTGTCCCTGCTGTGTCTGGAGTCGCCACACGGCCTAGGCCGTACTTCGTTCCGCTCCTTCAGCAGGTTCTTGGTCTCCCGCCTTCTACTGGTCCTCCTCCTCCCTTAGAGTGTCCGCAGCCTGTCCCGTCACAGTTACAGTTACAGCCGGCCTCCCCACTGCCCGCTCCTTCTCCCTACACTGGTCCTACTGGAGGTCTTGCTGAGCGTCGTGAGCCTGCGTCTCGCCCTGCGTCGCCTGTCCGTGCTGCTCGCACTAGTGCTCGTGGTTCGCGTCAGCGTCCTCCTCCTGTCCCTGGCACGCACCGGATGTCTCTGCGTCCGTCCACTGCTCCTCTGCGTGCCCCTTTGCCTTCTCCTCCTGAGTCCTCTCTTCCTGCTCTTCCTGACCCGGAGTCGGACTCTCTTCGTGCTGCCAGTCCTACTGTCACGCGTCTCCTTGCTACTGTTGTCACTGACCCTTCCTTTGAGTCCACTGCTGCGTCTGCCCTAGTTACTGAGCTCGTCGACTTTGCTGCTCGCTGTCGTCTAGACTACGCTGCTAGTCTTGTTGCTGAGTCTGAGTCTGTCTGTCCTCCGTCCGTCGGGGGTGAGTGTGCCCTTGGCACGGACGTCCTTGAGGACAGGCAGGAGGAGTTCCAGTGTTTGGCTGCTGCTTCACCTCATCTCGTGTCCGTACTGCTTACCCCTGAGGGAGACCCGGATGCACTTGACATCCCGACTCCGCGCTCTTACGCGGAGGCGATAGAGGGTCCCTACTCCTCTCAGTGGCAGGCAGCTATGGACGCAGAGATGGCTTCCTGGAAGTCCACAGGCACCTACGTTGACGAGGTTCCCCCGCCTGGGGCGAACATCGTCAGTGGCATGTGGATTTTCAGGGTGAAGCGGCCGCCGGGTTCTCCGCCTGTCTTCAAGGCGCGTTACGTGGCTCGTGGCTTCAGTCAGCGGCAGGGAGTTGACTACTTTCAGAGCTTCTCTCCCACCCCGAAGATGACCACTCTTCGGGTACTGCTGCACATAGCTGCTCACCGCGACTACGAGCTGCACTCTCTTGACTTCAGCACTGCTTTCTTGCAGGGCAGCCTGCACGAGGAGATCTGGCTGCGTCGCCCACCTGGCTTCACTGGGTCTTTTCCTCCTGGCACCCAGTGGAGCCTCCGGCGGCCAGTCTACGGTCTCCGCCAGGCACCGCGTGAGTGGCACGACACACTGAGGACTACACTTGCGGCTCTTGGGTTTGCTCCCTCTACTGCCGACCCGTCGCTGTTTCTGCGCACCGACACTTCTTAACAGCCGTTCTACATCCTCATGTACGTCGACGACTTGGTCTTTGCCACAGCTGACACTGCTGGACTCGCCCACGTGAAGTCCGAGCTGTAGAAGAGACACACGTGCACAGACCTGGGTGAACTGCGCAGCTACCTTGGCTTGCAGATCACCCGGGACAGAGCACGCCGCACCATTACCCTGACTCAGTCACACATGGTGCAGCAGGTCCTTCAGCGCTTCGGCTTCACGTACTCCTCGCCTCAGGCCACTCCTCTGCCTACTCGCCACTCGCTCTCAGCTCTGCCTTCGGATGAGTCCGTAGAGTCGAGTGGCCCGTACCCAGAGCTTGTTGGCTGCCTCATGTACCTGATGACCTGCACACGACCTGACCTTGCATACTCTCTTAGCATTCTTGCACGCTATGTTGCTCCTGGGAGACACAGACCGGAGCACGTGGCTGCAGCGAAGAGGGTGTTGCGCTACTTGTGCAGTACGTCGGGCATGGGGCTTGTGCTTGGAGGGCAGAGTCCTGTGGTCCTCACTGGACACGCAGACGCTTCTTGGGCTGACGACCAGGCTACGCAGCGGTCGTCACAGGGTTACACCTTCAGCCTTGGTTCCGGCTCTGTTTCGTGGCGGGCTACTCGCTCGTCTTCTGTTCTCGGCTCCAGTTGTGAGGCTGAGATCTACGCCGGGGCCATGGCTGCACAGGAGCTTCGCTGGCTCACCTACCTGCTGACTGACCTCGGAGAGCCGCCTCGTTCTCCTCCAGTGCTCTACGTAGACAACAAGGCCATGCTGGCCTTGTGTCGAGAGCAGAGACTGGAGCACAGAACGAAGCACATTGCTCTTCGCTACTTCCTTGCTCGTGAGCTACAGCAGCGTGGTCAGCTGCGACTTGCGTACGTGGCCTCTGAGGCCAACACTGCTGATATCTTCACCAAGGCACTTGCGCCTTGTGATCATCAGCGCTTCTGTACTCAGCTGGGTCTTGTACCTACCTTGCCTCACTTGCTCACCTCTTGACCTTGTTTGTACTGTTGCATATATATATACTCCTGCTCTTGCTTGTCTAGCCTTATATATAGATGTAATCCTGCATGTGAACTGGCCTTGTGGCCTTGAACTTGTGCTCGGAATGTGTGGTGACTTTGTGATCCACCCTGAGCTTGCTTTGCTTTGCTTGACTGGTCTTGTGACCCCTTGTTCTCCCCCACTTTGCCTATGGGGGTGTGTCAGAGTTATATGACATAGCTACTGTAGGCTATAGTGGGGTAGCACATATGGGGTACAGTTGCCTAGGGTTTGCCTTTTTGTACCCAACTTTCACTTAGTCATTTCATTCCTGTTTTCTTGATTCACAGTCGTGGCTCCCTGGACTTCAGGCGCTGCGGACGACAAGTCGGCTACCTCCGGTCAACCTCCCCCAACTGTCCCACACCCCTTTCACACACCCCCTGCTGCACCTCTAGCACTGCTCACACGCCACCCCCCTCGTACCACTCCGACGGCTCCAACACATCCACCCCCCTCAGCGGTAGCTGCAGCAGTGGGAGACGGAGGAGGAGGAGGAGCAGGGGGACGGCTTTCACACCCAGCACCCCCATACTCTCCACCCCTAAACCCTAACCCAGGAGCGCGGGCAGCAGCGGGGGTGGGGCGCGGTCAGAAGCTCGGGACGAAGCGCACGCGGGCTGCCCGGGCCGCACGCGGGCCTGGCGCAGCCCATACGGGCCGCGCGCGGGCCTGGCGCAGGTCGCGCGGGCCGCGACGGGCGACGGGGGGCGACGCGACGGTCGACAGGGGGCGACGCGCGGTTCGACGGGGCAGAAAACCGCCGCGCGCCCCGAGCGCGCGGCGGGAAGAAAAATCGCTGCGTGCCCGGAGCGCGCGGCAGGCAGGAAACAGCACGCGCCCGTGGCGCGCTACAGGCAGTAGAGCAGCGGAAGCATCGGGTGGGGCCCACCCACAGGATCGACCCAGGAGGGTCGACCTGCTCTGATAGCATGTAGAAACAGCAGGCTAAAACGATAAACACGAAAGAGGGCTTTTCACTAGCATGCAGTTAAGTACATATAGCAAACCCTAGTTCGGGCTGTACTCGCTATAGAGTACCCCACTGCAGGCTACACAAACACCACATTCTGACAATATTTTATACATATGTTGTATAATTGCTTGCAGTTACATCGTAATGTAGTCATTCTGCCTATTGTTGGTGGTGCACCCTTTCCATGATTTGTTCTTTGACTATATCTTGTTCCTCAATCTCTTAGCGAAACCATCTTCTCCAATTTCCCTCTCGCTACTCTCGATACTTGCCTAGGCTGTTCCTAATCCTAACTCCTAGGCAATTTTAACAGACCAATGCCGTTTGGACCTGAATGCTTGAAGCAGCAGTGTTGGGAAGTCCTGTGTTGATTCAAGGTGCACAGTGCACACAGTTTGACAATGCATGGGAGGCCTCTTTCTTATTGCTGGCTCTCCTAAGGGCGGGTGCGGGTCATACTTTTTTGTTCCAGGTTCGTTTTGAATGGTTCATCCTGGTGCGCAGTGGTCTATTGTGGTGAAAGACGAAAACTTCGCCCAAACGTAGTTTACCGTATTCAACCACGTCAAACGCGCAAGAACAAAACAGTATGACCCGCCCTAAGTTGTTCCGTTCCGGCACTAGAAATCATTCACGACGCTCAGAATCAAATATAGGTGTATGTATGTATGATATCTAAAAACAAATAACTGAACTCCCTGAATAAATACTTTAATTCTCAGCCGTACCTGCTTTAGAGGATTAAGTAGGAAGGAATCATCCTTTATTACACCGCTCAGAACCGTTAGGGTTCCCACTATCATTACATATCTTATAAAGAATCTTGATGCACTCAACTGCCACGCTCACCGTTGGGTTCGGCTGTACTTCTATCGGCTGTCTCTGTTGATTTCCTGGACAGATCTGATTGGTTCCACGTTGCATTGCAATCACACGGTTCTTTGATATCACTCGCTCGCTGCACAGCGATTAGTATCAGCGATTAGTGCACTACTCACCCGCCTTGTTCCTGCAATCGCTGCCTGTCTAGTAATCCCTCTCGCGTCTGTTCGTGCCGCTCGCCACGATGATGCGACGGCCGCCTCCCGATATTCGCGACACCTACTCCTTGCTTGTGCTCAACATCACCTTCCGTAAGATACCGCTTTCTTCCGTAAGACTTCGCTTTTGTAACCTGTCTGACCTTCGCTGCACCGCTGACTTGCGGCTTCTAACTCCAGTTCCCTTTTCGGCGATTCAAGCATCTCTTTCAGCTATCCGCTGTTTTAGATCCACGTCTTTACGCCGCTGTTTTTCTCCCTCACTCCCTTCCCCACTCCTACCTTCCCCACTTCCGCACTCCTCTCTTCCTCACTCCCCGTTCCTCTCGCCGTCCTTCCTCCTCCCTCTCCTCCGCACCTCGCCCTTGACCTTTTCTCTCTCCTCCAGGCACAACCAGCGATGAACTCTTGCCCATGTTCTCGCGCTACGGCGAGGTGGTCGATGTCTTCATTCCCAGGGACAAGAGGTGACCGTTGCCCTCCTTTCCCCCGCTTTTTGAGGTGCCTAGACACAATTATTGTTGAGGCGCCTCGAAAGCCCATCTTCTCGCGTTACGGCGAGGTGGTCGATGTCTTTATTCCCCGGGACAAGAGGTGACCGTCCCCTTCCTCCCCACCCACCCCTTCCCCCTTCTCTCCCTTACCGCTTTCTCCTCCTCCCCCTCCCCCTCTCGCTCCCCGTCCACCTTCCTTTCCGCCTCCCCCTCCTCGTCCCCCTTCGCCTCCCGCTTCCCCCGGTTTTCATGTTCTCACGTCCTTATCCCTTTTCGCGATCGCGATGACGATTCAAGTCGACTCGCTTTTTGCACGCGTGGAGATCGACTGCGTTTTTCTACTAGGTCGCGCGTTTAGGCACCATTTGTAAGGAGACACATCTTCTCCCCAGGCTTTCCTCACTTCGTTCCGTGACAGTCCGAAGGGCAGTCTTATCCTTACAGCCTTCGCGTACCATTCATGATTCTTTTTGTGTCTCAAGTCCTTTGTCTCATCCGCTCTCCTCTTGTCGTCTCCCTTCCCGTCTCCCTTCCCGAATCCCTTCTCGCCTTCCCTCTCGTTCGTCCTATACCCATTCCCATGCGGCGAGCGCACCAGGACCGGCACGTCGCGCGGGTTCGCCTTCGTGCGCTTCAAGCGCGAGGACGACGCCGCCAGAGCCGTCGAGAAGCTCGACGGTGCGTGGTTATGAAAGTCGCCGCTATTGCGCCCCGAAGACGATCTCTTAGTGCTCCAAGAATTTGGCGCTTTCTGGCTTCTACGAGCGGTTTTGTGCTTTCCAAGTTTTCAGCAGAACTTTTTTTTTTTTTTTTTTTTTTTGTCCCATTGCGGTTTCCGCTGCCCTTCTTGCAGGTCGCACGGTGGATGGCAGGGAAATCATGGTGAAATTCGCCAAGTACGGCCGCAATGAGGAGATAATGTGAGCCACCCACCATTCTTCACCTGCAGCCTCTCTCTTTTCGAATCTTCTCAATTCTCTCAGCACCCACCGTCCCTTCCCCACCCACCGTCCCGACCCCTCTCGCTTCTCATCATGCCCCCTCCCGAGTCTCACACTGTTTCTTCGCTACCTTTCTGCCTCCCTCCCTCCTCCCCACTCCCTCCCCCACCCCCTCCCCCCCCCCCCCCCCCCCCCTCCTCTCCGCTTTCCCCAACCGCCACTGTTCCTGCTCCGCATCCTGTCCTCCCTCTCCAACCTCTCTTGACGTTTTGAGCGCCCAGAGCGCGATGGTTTTATTTCATTCATTCCGGCCGCTGCACCTCCTCTTGTGCACATGCGCTGGATCGCGAGGCGATTTTTGAGTCGATTCAAAGTCATCTCAGCGCCCGGAGTGCGATGGTTTTATTTCATTCTGGCTGGCCGCTGTACCTACCTATTCCTGCACACCATGCGCTGAATTTCATGTTGACTTTTTGAGTGAACTCGGTATTTTGTCACACATTTTCTGAGTCGACTCCAAAATGCCTCTTCGTGAAATGAAGGCGCAAAACAATACCTTTCAACAATCCCCCTTTCATCTTCTCGCAAGTGCGGACATGCCTTCAACCGTCTGTCTTCCCCCCCCCCACTCTCCCCTTCCCCCCCCACACTCTCCCCTTTCCACCCTCTCCTCTCCCTCTCCCACCCTTCTTCCCCGTCCCCCTTTCCCTCGTTTTCCTCTTGCCCAAATCCCTCCTCCCGTTCCATCTCTCTCTCTTTCTCCCTTGTTTTCCTCTCCTTCCCCTCCCACTCCACGCAACCCGTTCTCCCCCCGTTGTGTGGCAGTGAAAAAGGGCTTATCAAGGACATCGGCAATCCGCCCCCCCCTGGTCCGCCGCCCTATGCCAGGCGAGGGTAAGCGCGCCTTAGTTCCGCCCTTTAGTTCCGCCTGGGTTCAGCCTGGGTTCCGCGTGCGCCTCCCCTGGGTTCCGCCTGGACTAAGTACACCCCCGTTTTCCCCCTTCATGATCTCTTTTCGTTTTTGAATCTGCTTTGCGTCTGGATCTTCCCACATCTCCCACCCCCCATCCCTTATCCCTCGTCCCCCATACCCCCTGATCCCTCACCTTGTGCCCCGTCACTCTACTGCACCTGCCTACTTCCCTCCATTCCGCCACTGCCCCTCACACCGCACACCCCCCTCCCCTCTCCTGCTCCCTCATCCCTCCCTTCCCCGTTCGGCACGACGACCGTGCAAATTCTTTCTCCCGCCCGTTGCCCCCCTACTGCCGTCCCCCCTTACCCCCTCTCCCCGGCCATACCCCGCGGCGGTCACGGAACTCCTCTTAAGGTTTCTGGAATTTTCCGTTCTTCATCTTCTTCTTAATCCTCCCCTGCTCCCTCCATCCCTCTCTCCCTTCTCCCGAAATACACTGTCTGCGCGTACTGCTTGTACTTTGGAGAGTTATAAAAAATGGCCTCCTTCTTCCATCCCACTCCTCCTTCACGCCCCAGATACGATGACCGCCCCTACCCGCCCCGCCCGTACCACGATGCCCGTGGCCCTCCCATGGACTACCGGGGCGGGGGAGGAGGCATGGATTACCGCGGTGGCGGTGGGGGGGGAGGGGCCTGTTGTATCCAGATACGAGTGCCATGGGTACTGTGTTTCTTCCGAGAAATCTTAAAAGTGCCTTTCTCCCCTCCATCCCTCCATCCCTTCCGCCCTTCACTCCCCAGTTATGATGACCGCCCCTACCCGCCCCGGCCATACCACGACACCCGCGGCCCTCCTATGGACTATCGGGGCGGGGGAGGAGGCATGGATTACCGCGGTGGTGGCGGTGGTGGGGGGGTAGGGGACTACCGCCGCAGTGGCTATAGAGGGGGGGGATTCGACGTTGGGGGGTACCGTGGGGGTGGAGGTGATTATAGGGGGCGGGGCGAGTATCGGGGAGGTGGGGAGTATCGAGGGCATGAGCATGAGCGGGAGAGGGAGCGGGGTCGGGAGGGGGATAGGGATAGGGGTGGTGAGAGGGAGAGGGAGAGGGAGAGGGGGAGAGATCGGGACCGTGATGGGGGCAGGGAGAGGGAGAAGGAGAGAAGCAGGGAGAGGAGCAGGGATAGGGATAGGGAACGGGGCAGGGACAGGGATGGCGATAGGGAGAAGGAGAAGGAGAGGGAGGAGAGGGAGAAGGAGAGGGAGAAGGAGAGGGAGAGAGAGAGGGAGGAGGAGGACGGGGGGCGGAGGGGGAGGCGCAGAAGGAGAGATGATGATTCAGACAATGAGGATGATGATGCAGAGGAGAAAGAGAAGGAGAGGGAGAAGGAGAGGGAGAGGGAGAGGAGGAGAGAGAAGGAAGGATCGGAGGGAAGGGATGGCAGTGGTGATGGGGAGGGGAAGGGCGAGGAGGAGAAGGAGGGGGAGAAGGAGCAAGAGAGTGGTGGGAGGGAGGAGGCGGAGGGCAAGACGAATGGAAGTGCACGGGAGGATGGGTCTCCTGGTGCAGATGCTGACAGGTGAGGAACGGTGCTGGCAGGTGAGGAGCGGTGCTAGCAGGTGAGGAGCGGTGCTGGCAGGTGAGGAGCGGTGCTGGCAAGTGGGGATGGCAGGTGAGGAGCGGTGCTGGCTGGTGAGGGGGGGCGTTGGCAGGTTAGGAACACTAGTTTGTTGCAAATGCGTCCATCCTTATCGTTTTCGTTATCAACATGAATATTTGACAGCCTTGCTGTTCTCTCAGCTCAGCGCTTGCTCTGATAGGCTCGTCCTCTTCCCTCGCACGTCTTGCTCTCGTCCCCTCACACCCACCCGTGTGTGTGTGTGTGTGTGTGTGTGTGTGTGTGTATGTGTGTGTGTGTGGGTGTGTGTGGGTGTGCGGGTGTCGGTTTTGGGTGTGCATGCATGCGTGCATGGGTGTCTTGCACATGCTTTGGCATGTCAATCTCCTAATTCACTTGCAATTACTTGTTATCTCACATAGCGCTTGCAAACCTAAAGCCATCAACCCCCCATGCTTCCTTTCTTCAAAGCCCGTGTGATTTCAACTATCTACTCCCCTGAAAATCACCTTTCACCCACCGAAATCCCCTTCAACCCCTCCATAATACGCACCTGCCTGATTTCCGCCCTCCACTCTCCTGAATCTTGCTTCCGCCTTCCTGAATCGCGCCTTTCACCCCCCACAGGCCCTCCAAGAAGGCCCGCACAGAGGACGATGATGACGATTATGTCAAGCGGTGAGCGTTCCCTAGTGGTGTGGCTATGTTCGCAGGGGTGAAGTTTTAGGTGCTGTGCCCCGTGCTGTGGTAGGCTGTGCGGCTGCAGCATCTGTGGTGTAAATCCCTATCTCTTCTCTTCTCCTCCCCCCCATCCCTGCCCTCTCCCCACCCCGCACAAGCCTCTTTTCTCTCTCTTTCTCTCCCGCCCGTTTCGACTGACTCTTTCTCTCCTCGCTTTTGTACAATTGTTGTGGGGGAGCATGGTGGGCATGGGGGCATGGGCGGCATGATGTGCATGGGGGGCATGTGCGGCATGATGTGCATGGGTGGCATGCGGGGCATGTGCGACATGATGTGCATGGGTGGCATGTGCGGCATGATGTGCATGGGTGGCATGGGTGGCATGTGGTGCATGATTGTGAGCAGGGAGGAGGAGGACGTGGACGAGGCAGCAGCAGCGCAGGACAGTGTGTTTGACCATGACCATGAGGGGCTGGACGACTGAACGCCCTCTCCCTGCACACGCTTCCTCTGCATCATGCCACTCGTAAGCACCCCTCTCTGCAAGCATGTCGTTTGGTTTGAGGCGCCTCAGAATGCAGCAGCAGCGCAGGATAGTGTGTTTGACCATGACCATGAGGGGCTCAATGACTGAACGCCCTCTCCCTCACATGCCCACTCTCTGCATCATGCCACCTGTGAGCCTCTCTCTCTCTCCCTCCCTGTTAGCATGCTATCTGTAAGCCTGCAAGCCAGGTGCTGTTACAGCCCCTGCTGCTGTTTCCCACACTTTCTTACAATCACAGGACTCCTAGTAGCAGGGCTTTTGGTGATAGAACCACTACCTATTCGTTTCAGTCACTTGGCGATTACGGGCCTGTGTCTTATCACCTTTTTCTCTCCCTGCCAGCATTCAACGCTGCTTCTCTATCAGCTTGCTCGCAAGCACATATAACTGAATCGAGGTCCTCTACATTGCCTTTGTGTGTCGCCTTCCATTCTCACCTGCAGGAAGGAAGCACGGAGCCGCATTGGAAGCATTAGAAGGCCCTATGTGCCACTTCACTGCAGGCTGCAATGTAGATTCAAAAGTTTTAGTCTTCTAGCTTTCTAGCTGCCCGCCTCGGCGTCGGCCTCGTTGTCTCCTGCCCATGCTCCCTCTTCACCCGCTTCATCTCCCTGCCTTGCCTTCAGTGCTAGTCCCTCTTGCTCTCTCATTCTCCCTTTGTCATTCCAGTTCTTTGTTTTTTCCGTCCACTACTCTCCCTTCTCTCCGCGTCAATCTTGCTAGGTCGCACTTTCTCGCTCATTCCTTCCTTCCTCATTTCTTGCCCTTCGTCCTACCTACTGCGGCACTCACCTTCTCACTTTTCCTTATTCCGCCACACCGTAGCTGCACACAGTGCCTTTTCTAGCGCCGTTCCCGCCACCAGCGGAACACACCTGCTCTCGCAGGGGCATCAGAGCAGCACCAAAAGTGCAGATGGCATGAGAATCCAAGGATGCAAGGCACTTCACTGGATCTAGCACCCTGGTCTGCACCTGTCTGCCTGCCTCTCCTGCCGTCCCTGGCCGTCCACTCACCCTCTGCTGCTGGGAAGGGACGGATGAGCTGTGGCAGGATGCCTCTTGACTGCCAACTTGACTCCCTAGCTGTTGCTGGTTGCTGGTAGCTGGTTGCTGGTAGCTGGATGGATGCTGAACCTGCTAGCCGAAACTGTTGCTGGATGCTGACTTACCGTATGTCCCTGGTTGCTGAATCTTCTGGTAGCTGAAATTGTTCCTGGTTGCAGATTATGGTATCTACCGTAACTGGGTGGAAACGTTGATGAACACGTTGCTGTTTCTGGCCTGGGTTGCTGCTGCTGCTGCTGCTGTTGTGTCTGCTGCGTCTGCTGCTGCCCCCGCTGTTGTTGTTTCGGTGGCTACAAAGTTGAGCTTCCAACCCAATGCTGCTGTAGTGGTGCTGCTGACACAAATTTCTCGGCGCAAAATGTTTTGTGAGCAGCTTGGGGCGGCAATCGCTATCTCAGGTAATTTACTATATTCACTCCATAAGCCTCCACCCCCACCTCTATCACTATTTTCTCCACCTCCCCTCTCCTCCACCCTCTCTCCTTCTCCCTATCCCCCCTCTTCCCCCCCCCCCCCCCCCCCCCCCCCCCCCCTCTCCTCCCTTCCACTCTCTGCTGCTGCTTGCTCGTGAAATTTCCTGTTGGGGAGTCAGAAATGTAATTACTGCAAAAAGGTGATGGAAAGAATGTACAACAATATATGGCATTGAAGATTTCAATGGTTATGAGTGGGGAAGGAAGGGGTTTTGGTAATGGAGAAGATAGAAGGGAGTGGTAGAGAAAAGGTTTTGAGGCTGAACAAAAGGTAGTGCATTTCTCAGGTTTGGTGGTTCTGGTCTTGTTATAGGAAAGACTTGGGGGAAAGTTATATAGAATTGTATCATGCAGGGTTGTAGCTGCTAACTTGTATCGTACAGATAATTTATGTCGCAAACTTTCAAGTCGCTAAGGGTACATTCCTACCTCGTGTCAGACACGAAGTGGAGGTTCGGATGGAGGTTCGGAAGACCCGAAGTGGCCCACTTCGGGTCTTCCGAACACCGATTTGCCCGAATCTCCACTTCGTGTCTGACCTGATGTCCGACCCGAGCCAAGAATGTACCCTAAATCGGAATGAATTCTCTGCGTGTCAAGCAGTGCAGCTTCAGGTGTCGTTCACGAAACTCGCGATGCGGGCATTACATATTTTAAGGGCAGCAGACTACTATTCCATGTATATAACCACCACGGTTTCAATTCAAGTACGCATATCCGGATCAGGTTGTGGTCGTCCAGGAACTTCCGAGACTATTGTTTCATAGACCTTTTCATATGGAACACCTGTTAAAAAAACCTCTGGATAGCGCTCACACGAAAAAGGAAGAGGGCAGCCTGTCCAAGCACGAACCCGACCAGGAAAACACGCCCTCGTTGCCCATGTGAAAATGTTGCAAGCCTGCGTACGGCCGGACCTGGCTTACTGGTTCGATAGTCATTTTCACAAAGCCTACGTGTTCGATATTCGTTCCCGCCCCACTTTCTGGGTGCCAAGCGAACCGTATTGTGCCGCTTTGAAATGTTCTGAACTTCTCCCTTTTCTTGATCACTTCCTGCTTCGTCCTGGTCGGTGGTTCCAGAAAAGTGGAACAAGGTTCCTTGGGGGTGCGGTGGTGTGGTTTCCTTGGGGTTGGATGAACAAGGTTCCAGACTGTGTGGGAGGTTGAAAAAGGTCCAGTAGTTTTCAGTACGTTCTTTAGGTACAGGTTCGTGAAGTGGAGAGTACACTGAGGGCGGGGTTAGCGCGTTCGTTTACAATTTCAGTACAGTTCATTCTGAGCGGTTACTATCGTATCGTCACGGTTTCAAACGGTTCATTTTGAAAACCGCTCGAAACCAGTTGGAATCTTTTTGCGCCACGACGGATGAACGCCCTGACCCTCCCTGAACGACTCGTATGCCATCCCTAAGCAACTAATATCTCGTTTTTTTCCAGTTTACTTTCTAGGTTTTGGGACTGGCAGACAGGAGGAATTCATTAGTTGGTTTGTCGCTCTGTGTCTCAACTTAGCTTGGGTGAACGAGTTTCTTTGCAAGTAGGAGAATCATGGCGTCATCGCCTGAGTCTGCCTGATTTCTTCCTTGTCTTGCCTCGTGTGGGTGAACGTTGAGTCGCGACTCGTTAATCTGGCGTATTCCGATCGTCTTCGTAGGAAAGAATCCGTTAGTGGTTTATTCTCACGGAAGAGTTGAATTAACCATGCGGCAGAGTTAAAAATGTGTCCGATCTCATGATTTACGCTCACGGCAGCAGTTCCCGCAGTCGCCTCCAGGACTTCGCGCTGTAGTGTCGTCCCTCGCCTCGGTGACCATCCCCAAGCATTACGCGAAGCAACCCCTGATTTTCTCGCACAGCGCCGCCAACGCCGAGCCTTAGGAGCGTCGCCACGTTACTGTCGCGGTTCAATTGCTCTTTCTTTCTGCGGGGTGGAAGCCTGAAGCCGCCATGGGCTGCTTCTCCAGCAAGGCGATCAGCGATCCGTACGATGTCACTGCGGCTGCAAAAGGTGCGTGATGCTCGCATCACAGCCGTTCTTTCTTCGCCGCTGGTCATTCGTTCTCGTTCCTTTGCACCTACGACCATAGGAAATCGGATCTTGGCCTGGTTTGGAGTTTCAGGTGAGTTACTTGCCTTGTTCATTGGCTGTCCTCTCCTTGTTTCCAGCTGGTTCTGATTATTTTATATTTGGTGAATCGAAGCCGCAAGATGCATGGTGTCACGAGTCTAGATTAAGTGCCGAGGTTCGTCTTATTAGAAAAAAAAGTTACTAAGGTAATGCCTCGGAACAGCATTTCCTTCACATTACAAGTTTCGAGGTTGTGACAAAGTCGGTGTTTTTTTCCCAGAAGCAACGTTGTTGTCGGTCTCATGCTACGCGTCCGTCAACCCTATTTTCCCGTCCCTGTTTCTTAGTCTACCTACTTTTTTGAACTGTTATGCACGTCCGACTTTATTGGAGTGGCTTTACGGATTCTTACGTCCACGTCAATCTCTATTGTTTCCGCTCGTAACTCCCTCTTCCTCCTCGCCGTCCTTCCCCTCTCGCTCGCTCTCCTTCACCCCGTCCTCGTCGCACCCTCTTCCTCTCCCATCTGCGCGTCCGCCGCACCCGCCGCGCCCTCCGCGTCCCCATGTTTCCCCGTGCGTCCAGCTCCCTCTGCCTCTCCAACTCTGCGATCCCTCCTCCACCGCATTCCGTAGCACAGCATTAATGGGGCGTTGTAACGAGGTTCCTCTTAAGTCGACTCAAAGGTCACCGTCTGTTGTTGCGCCAAGCTCCCTCTACTCTCTACTTGTGCCGACTCTCCACCACGCTGCGTCCACAGTACCACCCCCGCTCGTTTTCTGTTTCTTACTCGATATCACATTAGGCTCCGCCTCTCTCGCTTTGCCGTGTCGTCCAATCGACGCATTCCCCGCTGCGGCATTCGTGGTTTAACGCTGACTGCTGTGCGCCACCGTTCTTCTCTTCTTCCGTACCGTTTCCGCGTATTTTCACCACTGCGCTGCTTATCCCCCCGCCTCTGCCCTCCGTCATCTGCGCAAGCCTAGTTCCCCTACTCCTTCTCCGCTTCCCAGCCTAGCTTCCCCAAACTCTCTGCCACGTGTGTTTCGTGCCTGGCCTTCCTTCACTCTTCTCCCCCTCTACTCCTCCTCTTCTACCTTCTCTTCTCCGCTTCTCCTTGCTTCTTCCCGCGCCCTGGTTACCCTTACCCTCTCATCTTACCCTCACCTTACCTGCACCCTCCTATTTCCTCTGCTTATCTCCACCCTCCTCCCGGCCGTTCACCGGCTCCCCACATCCCCCTTCCCTTTCCTTCTCCTTCCTTCGTTCCCTCCATCCTCCCCGCATCCCAACCCCCCCTCCCCCTTCCCCACCCACTCCCCGCTCCCCGGGCCTCCCCTCCGCGCGCAGCAACGGCGCCGAAGCCCTCGGGCGGCGGCGTGCGGAACTCGGAGGTGTCGGTTCCGCGGATGACGATCGCGGACTTTAAGGCGATGACTAATAACTTCAACCCGTCTAGCATGCTGGGAGAGGGCTCGTTCGGCCGCGTGTACCGCGGCGACCTTAACGGGCGCGCCGTGGCGATTAAGAAGCTCGACGCGGGGTCGCAGCCAGAGGACGAGTTCCTAGACGGGGTGAGTTTATTTATATTTTGTTCTTTAGTCGGCCCAAAATTACCTCCGGCTATTACCACGCGAACTTTCGGCCTGAAACCGAGTTCCTAAATGAGGTGCGGGGGAGAGGGAAGGAAAAGGGAGGGGAGGGGAGAGGGGAAGTCGAGTTTTGAGGCGCCTTAAAACTCGTCTCATTTCACGCAGCCCGAGTAGGAGATCCTAGACGGGGTAGGCGGCGGAGGTTGAAGGGGGGAATGGGTGGAGAAAGGGGGTGTAAAAAGGGAAAGAGATGGGGGAAGAGCAGGAAGGTATGGAGATTGGAATGAGGGAGGAAGAGACTCCAGGGGGAGGCGGAAAGGGATGAACTGAGATGAGATGAGTTGAGATGAGATGAGATGAGATGAGATGAGATGAAAGGGGGAAAGATCAGAAGGGAAGGGGGGGAGGTGATGAGGAAAAGGGGATCAGGGGAGGCGCGACGGGGAAGGCAGACGGGATGAAGGAAATGGGGAAATCGAAGGGAGGCAAGGGGATGGGGCAAGAGGATGGGGCAAGGGGATGGGGCAAGGGGATGGGGCAAGGGGATCGGGCAAGGGGATGGGGCAAGGGGATCGGGCAAGGAGATAGGGGAAATCCGGATGTTTGGGTGGGAAGTGTTGTGGAAGTCAGTCCAGGAATAGGAGTTGAATGTGGTGTTGGCAGGTAAAGAGGTGGGGGGTGGAGGGAGGAGGGACAGAGATGCGTCTCTGGGAAGAAAGTGGCATGAAAGAGATTGGCTTGAAAGAGTTAGGCTTTTTTGGAAGAAAGGAACATTGAAGAGGTAAATGGTCTGATTGGTCCTTGAGGGCGCCTCCAAATCTGATTGGCTGTGAGGTGGTATGAAAAGTGGACGATACAGAATGGAGAGAAAAGTTGGGTTAGTAGAGTGAAGCGGCCAAGGGAGAAGAAGCGTACCGAGGAAAGAATGGCATGGGTGCGGGCACTAGCGTGATACAGATAGGGATTCCCGATTGAATGGAGAGTGGGTAGCGTGAGCAGGCAGAGTAAGCACAGAGAGTGAGTGAGGAGTGCGATGTAACTTCGGAGGCGTTACACAAGTCAGGAGTGCGAGGTGAGATCACAGTCGGGGAGGGAGTGAGTGAATGCTAGAACAACTGAAAATTAGAGTGACATGCCAATGTTACTCAGACATGACGAGTGAGGAGTGAAGGAGGGAAGGGTGTGCTATGCTGTGGGGTGAATCTTTACAGATGGAAATCTATGCAGATGGAAATTTATACAGATGGAAAAGTGCAAGTAAGTGGCACTCAGGCATGGTGGAGCTCACGGCCTTCAAGACAACTCAAAGGTTCTTGTCCCACCTCGTGCCCCTCTCCTCTCTCTCTCTCTCTCTCTCTCTCTCTCTCTCTCTCTCTCTCTCTCTCTCTCTCTCTCTCTCCGTCTTCTCCTGCCTACGCGTGGTGCAGGTGGCAGTGGCGAGCAATCTGCGGCACTCAGGCATGGTGGAGCTCATGGCATTCTGCTGTGACGGCCCGCAGCGGGTGCTCGTGTACGAGCTGGCAGAGCACGGCAGCCTGCACGACATCCTGCACGGTGCGCTCTCCCTGCCCTCCTTTGCTTTGCTTTGCTCTGCACCGCTCTGCTCTGTTCTGGCACTGCTTGCCTTCTGCTGTGACGGCCCGCAGCGAGTGCTCGTGTACGAGCTCGCGGAGCACGGCAGCCTGCACGACATCCTGCGCGGTGCGTTCCCTGCCCTGCCCTGCTTCGCGCTCCCTGCCCTGCTTTGCGCTCTCTGCCATGCTTTGCTCCGCCCTGCTTTGCTCTGATCTGCTCTGTGCTGCTCTGCTCTGCTCCGGTATTTTACATGCTCTGTATATCTCATCTCACTGCCATCTCCTCTCCCTTGCTCCCACTCGTGGGCCCTTTTCTCTGTCCGCTCCTGTTGCTTCCACGCAGCATGTTTTTTGTGGCCCACTCGGAACGCCATGTCTCCATATCTTTCCCTCACCTAACCATCGCACCAGCCTCCCCTACCTCTACCTCCCCCTCCTGCCTCTTTATCTGCCCGAATGCTCGTGCCCGGCTCCCTTGCCCCATCCCCACCCCCTTCCCTGCACCCCCTCCCTTCCCTCCCCCCCCCTTCTCCCCCCTCGTCCCCTGGCAGGCCGAAAGCTAGCAATCAAGACAGAGGAAGCGCCCATCACGCTCTCGTGGCAGCAGCGCATGAAGATTGCTCTGGGCGCAGCGACGGGGCTAGCATACCTGCACGAGGAGGCGAACATGGTGCACAAGGGCGTGAAGTCGAGCAACGTGCTGGTGTTTGAGGACTTTACTTCCAAGATCGCGGATTTTAATGTTGCCAATGAGGCCCCGGACCAGGCGTCCCGCCTGCACTCCGCCCGCGTGCTGGGCACGTTTGGGTACAACGCACCTGAGTGAGTGAAAGGGGGGGAAGGGTGGGAAAGGGGGGGGGTGTGACGAGGGGTGTCGCGGGGGCAAACGGGTTCTGCGGGGGCAAGGGGGTGCTGCGGGGGCAAAGGGGTGCCGCAGGGGCAAGGGGGTGCAGCGGGGGCAAGGGGTCGACAGGGCGGGGGAAGTGGTGTGGTGGGAGGGGGGGTTGAGGGGGTATCAAGTTCAGCATAGCAGTGGCATTGTGACAGAGAAACGTGATCGGGGACACTGTCAGGAGGGAATGGGGGGAAGGGGGCAAGTTGTGTGCACACGACCTTGACCAATCTCATTGTGCTATGGGCTGGGCATGGGGCGTGGCATGGGCGTTGGGCATGGGCATATGGGGCTTGGGGCATGGCACCTTTATTATGGTGGCAGGTACGCGACGGTGGGGCAGCTGGCGCAGAAGCGCGATGAAACAGCTTTGGTGTGGTGCTGCTGCTACAACTGCCCACTCCTAGTGTGTGTCTCTTCCCAACTTCCCTTGCCCTCTCACCCCTCTCACTTCTCACCCGTCCACATCCATCCCTTGGTGCTGGCAGGTACGCGACGGTGGGGCAGCTGGCGCAGAAGAGCAATGTGTACAGCTTTGGCGTGGTGCTGCTGCTAGAGCTGCCCACTCCTAGTGTGTGTCTCTTCCCATTCTTCCCTCGCCCTCTCACCCCTCTCACGTCTCACTGTCCATGGCAGGTACGCGACGGTGGGGCAGCTGACGCAGAAGAGCGATGTGTACAGCTTTGGTGTGGTGCTGTTAGAGCTGCTCACGGGGCGCAAGCCCGTGGACCAGAACATGCCGCGCGGCCAGCAGTCGCTCGTGCAATGGGTGAGTGCCTTTGGGGGGGGGTGGGGTTGTGTGAGGGTGCGAGGGTGTGCGTGTGTGTGCATGTGGGGGGAAGGGGGGTGGACTCGAGACATCTAAAAATTGGAGCTGCTCACGGGGCGCAAGCCCGTGGACCAGAACATGCCGCGCGGCCAGCAGTCACTTGTGCAATGAGTGCGTGTTTGTCGGTGTGTGTGTGAGTGTGTGTGTGTGTGAGGGGGGGGGGGGGAGTCGACTCAAAAGGTACTGCTGCTCATGGGTTGCATGCAAGCCCGTGGACCAGAACATGCCGCATGGCCAGCAGTCGCTCGTGCAATGGGTGAGCGAGCACATTCCTGTATCTCTGTGTGGGTGCGTGGGTGTGTGGGTATGTGTATGCGCGCTCCATCCTTCAATGGTCGTCCTTTTGCTCCTCATGCGATTGATTGGCTCAAGCTTACCATCCATCCCATGGTCTTCCCTCAGCTCCCTCTAGTTACAGTCCCCCACCATTGCCTGCTTTCTCAATCTCCCCCACTCCCTTTTTCCCTCTCCCATCCCCTCGTTCTCTCTCTCAACCCTCTCTCCTTCTATCCCTCTCGCGCCCCCTCTCCCCCCCCCTTCCACCTTTGCACCTGGCCCAGGCGACGCACGGGAGGCTAGCAGAGGACAGGGTGAAGCACTGTGTGGACCCCAAGCTCAAGAGCTCATTCCCTGCCAAGGCCGTGGTCAAGGTGGGTAGGCAGGCAGACAGGCTAGCAGACAGGCAGGCACGCAGTGGCATGCGCACGGGGGCGTGAGGGCGTGGGAGGGCATAGGGGAAGGGTGAGAGGGCACGGGAGGCTAGCAGAGGACAGAGAGAAGCATTGTTTTGTGGACCCAAGCTCAAGGGCTCATTCTTGGCCAAGGCCGTGGTCAAGGTGGGCATGAAGGCGCATGCACACACGTGCACAGAGAGGCGTGGTTGGTAAGGCGTGTGGGGGCGTGGGGGGCCGTGTGATGCGTGGGAGGGCGAGTGCTTGGGCGGGCTTGGGAGTGGGAGGGCGTGTGAGGGCATGGTGGGGCATGAGAGGGTATAGGAGGGCATGGGAGAGGGGATGGGAGAGGGCATTTGAAAAGAAGTGGAGACTTGGAGAAGTTGATGCATGCACACATGCACGTGGGCACACACATGCACGTGGGCACACACATGCACGTGGGCACACACTCAGCCTTCCAAACACCTGCTCTCTCCCCTCCCCTCCCTTTCCCCCCAAACCCCCTTCCTCCCTCATGCAGTTTGCAGCGCTGGCAGCGCTGTGTGTGCAGTACGAGGCGAGTTTCAGTCATCTTTCAGACTTTTGATCAATTCTCAGCCTTCCTAACACCTGCTCTCTCCCTCCCCCTCCCTTCCCCACCAATCCCCCCTCCTCCCTCATGCAGTTTGCAGCGCTGGCAGCGCTGTGTGTGCAGTACGAGGCGGAGTTCCGGCCGTCCATGGGCACAGTTGTCAAGTCACTCCTGCCGCTCACTCAAGAAGGCGCGGATGGCGAGGACTAATTCGACTCGCTCTCTCGCTCTCTCCCTCGCCGGCTCACTCACTCACTCACGCACTCACGCACTCACTCACTCACGCACTCCACCATGCGACAGACGCAAACAAACATCTGCTCAGATCGCCGCAGCTGAGGTCTCTCACAGTCCCTTTCTTTCAGTCAGCTGGTGATGATGGCGAAATGGGGGGGCCACCTTCTGGCCAGTTTCTCCACTTGGTGCGACCTTCATTTTGCCTCCCCATTTTCACCCCTCTCCATCCGACACCCGTTCCCTCCACCTATCCTGCGTCTTCTCTCCCACTATCGCGCATGCGCAAGGGTTCATCCTTGATCTCTGCCCTCACCACCTGTTTGTGTCCCGGTCTCGCCTTCATGCTTCCCAGACAACTGCAGCACTCCAATGAATCCTGAACCAGGCAACGGTTATTTTCTTCCATACACCTCTGTCCGTCCACTGCTTGGTGCCTCCGCCTGTCCACCTTTAGCTTTATAGCCCACTGCATGTGCCATGGACATGCCACTACCGCATGTTAGATGGCTGCAACTCCTGCTGTCATACAGGCCTGGTTGACTTCAAATCGTCCTTGGCAGTATTATTATGTCGATATCTGGTTGATAGCTGCTGGCCCTGTGCGGCGTGGTCAGTATTCATGGGTCCTTCATCTGAGCAATACCGTACTGTAACTTTCATGTCCATTCTTGCGTGCATGGTGCTCTTTGCTGTGTTTCTAGTTGGCTCTGCCTTCACTTAAGACACATTTAGGTGTTAGAATTTGTTGATTACCGGTACTTGCAATACCACTTAGAGCTCTGCCCTGATGTGTATTTCGCAATGCTGCTTAGGAGACTGGTGGATTACCTCTATTGGATGGATTGCTTTTGCGGCTGGTTATTGGTAGCAGAAGTGCTGAAAGGAGAAAACTTGGGCACTACTACGTAGGTGATAAGCAGTAAAGCTGGCAAAGTTCAGCGATTCATGAGGAGTTTGAGATTGTGTGGTGTACAGTTTGCATATGCTTCATGGACTTGTCAAATATTGTTTGGCTTTTATGTATTATTGGACCTTTTACATGTTGAGCAAGCTCACAAAAAGACAGAACAAAGGCGTTCGACAGAACAAAGGCGTTCGACCCAGCAAAGAAACGCACCATTCCCGTTACCGTCGCAGAGGGGTGACGCGCTTCATCCAGGCCACGTCGTGGTTTGTTGTAACGGCGGTCGATAATGTTGCAGTTGGTTCGTTAATTTGGGTGGGCCCCGACAAGGCTGGGTGGGGAAAAGGTTGTGCCGTTGTGTGTTGTCCTTTTCAAAACATCATTAGATATTTAGTCGAAACTTACCCTGGAGCAAGGAGCTGAACGCTTACGGTAAGATTGTTTAAAAGCATTTATTGCTTCGAGGATGTTTGCTGATAATGTAATCCAGCAAGCTTTATGCACAGTTGAGCGGAATACAAAACCCGTAAATATGAGAATGATTCTCCATGCAGCCGAGCATTGTTCTCGCGGAAAGGGATGCCTTGAAAATCAAGCACGTTCAGGAACAAGTCTGCCTTGCCACACGCTCCATTTAACCACTGATTGTGATTCTTTTGTCCACATTATACTTGGAGCAGCGAGGAAGGAGCTTTCGGCTGATCGCCGTTACAGCTCGAATATTCTGGCGGGCGAGGCCGAGTCAAAGGATCGAGCCGTGCGTCGCGTTTCAGCTTTTCCTTGCGTATGATTGGCTATACTAGCTACTGGGTACACATCAATGGATTTTCTCTCCCGGAACGTTTGCTCTCGCCAATCATAGGGCTCATAACCTTGACAAAACGCGTCGCACTGATTCAAAAGGGGCTTTGACAAAACAGATCTAAAACAGGTGAGAACCTCTTTGTGATGGTTCAAATTATTCGGATGGTGTTAAGGCTGTCAATTCGACTGTTTGTAGTTTTGGATGACCAGTACAACTTGACGAAACTTTCTTCGCTTGGCTATAGCACACTCTAACAATGAAGTATTGTACGTGCTCACACATTCGAGCTATTTCTAACTGTAATGGACTGATTACCTCACGTTTACTTGATAATGATGGCATATAACTTCGCAGCTAACTGGATAGCCTCCGCATACGTACTACACTTCAAAGCATAACTCTCTCCGCAAATGAAAAAAAAAACGTATTGTTTGGGACAGAGAATCAGCCGCTGGTAAAGTTATCTCATTGGAAATACCTGTTTGGGATACGAAGGGAGCGATGGTAGTTCAACTGAATAAAAACACTTGGCCGCGGACATGCCGATTTTGTACAGACCTGTAAAAAACCTTTATACAACGCACGTATGCTTCGGTTCCGCACACGATAGAAATCGGCCTCGCCCGCCTTGCAATTTCCTACATAAATTGGTACGACAGATTCGAGAGCTTCATTCCACACTGGCAGTCCCACTCAACACCTCTCACTCACACTCCACATCTGTTCCTCACCCTATCGCACTCGACAACCGCCGAGTCCCTCGCAGCCCAAGCTCCAGCATTTGAAACGTTCGAGTCCATGCAGGTGGCTTGCTCGTAACATGGCCTCGCCTCTTTGCGTCCCTTCGCGCCTTTCCCTCTTCTACGGCATTATCGAGAACATGGCTGAGAGAGGCTTGATTTCCACTTCCAGTTTCGAGAAAGACTCACCTAGCCCTCGGTTTCGTTACAGTGGCGATACAGCAGAGTGCGGGGTAAGCGGCGACGACTCCCCCGTTCACCACGACGAGCCGAATCGTGTCGTGCAGAACAAGCGAAAACGAGAGTTCGCTGCCCTGCGAGAGCCGCTTCTCTTGAGCCGCGCCGAGTCTCTGCCGCTACAATTCGTCGAGTCCGCGGCGGAAACCCGTATCATTCCCGCTGTCCGTGCCGCGGCTTATCAGCATCAACATCAGCATCTATTGCAGCACCATCAGAGTCAGCAGCGGCACGGCAAGTCGGAGAGCCCCATCAGGCGTCGCGGCCTCGATCCTGTCGCACGCGCCTCCGCATCACCCGCTGGCAGTGGCCTGAACGCCGTCACCTGCCTCAGCGGCGGCGGCGGCGGCGGCATCACCGCGATTCGTAGAGCAGCCACGACGAGGGCGAATAGCAATAGTCCTGTTAATGCTACTAGAGCATTGCATCGCAGTGTCACTGCGGTGGAAAGAACGCCGCAAATTCCCGGCTCCCCCAGGACCATAATGCACCGCGCTCCCACAATCGACCTGTCCGCTGTTCCGCCACTCGCCATCTCGGGTGCGGGAGATGCTTTCCCCTCCCCCTCAGCTGCAGCGACGGCGGCAGCGCATCCTTCCCCGATTGCGCAGCTAGCGCGGGTGTCCTCAATGCTCTCCTCCCCGACCCCTTCCCCCTCGGGCACTCCGCGGAACGATTCCGCCGCGGGGGGAGGCGGCCGACCGGCGGAATTCCGCCGACTCCGCCGCTCTAGCTTCTCCGCCTCCGCCTCCTCCACCCCAAGCCCCCGCTCCGCCGTATCCCGCCCGCGGATGAGCGCGGGAGACATGCTGCGCCTGCTGAGCCCCACCGTCGCCACCGCCGCGAATCTCGGGTCCTGTACAGTAGGCGGGCCGTACGCTTGCCCGACGTGCTTCCTCAAGTTCCCCTCGCTGCACGCGCTCGGGTACCATGAGAACGCGCGCCACGGGCGCGGGGGAGGGGTATACAGCGGCGGAGTGGGGAGTGAGGAAACCGCAGGGGCAGGTGCAGGCGGGAGCGCGGGCGTGGGCGCGGGCGCGGGGGCAATGGGGATACTTCCAGCCCGAGGGGGGACCCTGAGGCGATCCAGTAGGTATTTCCAGCAGCCTCTCGCGTCTACTTATAGTGAGGTTTTTGAGGAGGCGGTGAGCAGAGAGCGGATTGCGGAGGGGTGTGTTGGCGGCGCTGGTGCAGGGTACAGTGACAGGAACGTGCGTGCTCGTGCTAGTGGTGAAGGTGCTGCTAACGAGGTGCTAGGTGCTGGGCTGGCAGCTTTACAGGTGCACGAGAGAAAGGCAGGAGGGAAGGAGAAGAGGGTGGGAGAGGGGGTTGGCGCTGCGATCAAGAGAAGCAGTTTCGTGGAGGGTGGCTCTGGGAAGCAACAGGGGTTGCGCGGTGGTGTAACATTTGATCTAAATGATGCTGCTCCTGCTGCTCCTCCTGCTGCTGTTTCTCCTGCTGCTGCTGCTGCTGCTGAAGCAGGGGAACGTACATATAAAGTAATATCTGCCGAAGAGGGCCATGGCATGTTATCTACTCACATGCACATGGAGGGTACAGGTGTAGGCTATCCTCCTCATCATCCAATTCCGGGTTCACTGCATCGCACGCAAGGGCCTCCAAAAGGAGATGAAGTGGACCTAGATTTGAGGTTGTAGGATATAGATAGATTTTGCAGATTGCGGTCACCGTGTATTATACCGACACCAGCCTACCTGTTTTGCGTGGAAGCCAATAATGCTCCCAAGTTATGTGTTAGCTACAATTCAATATATTTTTATTATAAGCTGGAACTGAAACCAATTTGTCTGTGTGCCTGCTAGATGCTCCGCTTTTAGCAGCAGGCAGGGAGACCGAAACGCTTACATAAATTCCGTTTCGCAGTGCACATGTTCTGGGCAGAATGGCAGAGGAGCAGAGCGAAAGAGAGAGTCGAATTGGCCGATGGAGGGCGGTGGCGCAGACCTGCATGTGGACAGTGAAATGGACTTGGTTTGAGAGGCGGCACGCGGAAATGTCTAGCAGGAGCTTTGAAAACCAGCCATCCTGGTCTCCCGCTTTCAAGCGAGCGCATACATTCGCAAGGTGGCGCAGGGTGGCGCAAGCCTGCATTGTATCTTACACCGTCCCTGCGCGACCGTGTTTCCCACTCAGAGCTGCGCAAGCGTCTCCCGTGCCGTGACTGCTCTCCTTGCATACTCCCACCACCGTCGGACGTTTAGGCTATAGACTCGAGGGGAGTGTACCAGCTTTGGACATTGCGGCGCGGCTAGCACTTCCCCTGTTCGCTTCTCACCGATTCGCTCCTATCCAGCTCGAACCTTCCCCAATTCGCACTTCTCGAATTCGCATTCTCCTAGTTCGCAACTCTCCATTTTACAGCGAGCGCCGCTAGTGCTACCTCTAGTTCTAAAACCGCTACTACCTGCGAGGCGCCTCGTAGCCAATTCCGCAACCTGCGCCGGCGCGCAATGCGGTATGGCGTCGTCGCACACGATTTCAACCTCAGTATCCCGCGCGCGCTCGATTTTCATGCCCGCGCTCTTCCGCCCCATCCCCCGTCCGCTTACGCCATTTTCCCTCCCCCCGCCGGTCCCTTCCCGCACTGCCCGCACCGTTCGTGCGACGCGGGGGGGAGGCGGCTGACGGGGCCGGCTGGCGCGGCCGTGGATGCTATCCACTGCCGCTTGCTTCCACAAGGCGGGTCCGCAGCAGCACGCGGTCCGCACGTCCGCCGGCTGCGCGCGGCTCGCCTTGCGGAGGAGGCCCACTCGCGCGCCGATGCGCCGCAGCCGCGGAAGGGCGCGCGACCGTCCGCTGGATCCTCCGCTACTGGTGTGAATGACGCGGGGCATTCCGCCACCCCTTCCACCACCCCTTCCGCCACCCCTTCCGCAACCCCTTCCGCGACACCTTCAGCTACATCTTCCGCCACCCCTCCCGCCAGCCCATCCGCCGCTGCCGCGACTGCCGCGGAGGCGGTGGTGGGAGGGGTCATGGCGGGGGGGCGACTGGCGCGGGAGGCGGGGCGGGAGGAGGAGATGCGGAGGCGCAGGCGGAGGCAGAGGCGGAGAGACCTGGTGGTTGAGGTGGAGGCGGAGGGGGTGGCGGAAGCAGTGGTGGGCGCAGTCACAATGCGCGCAGGCGCGGAGGCTGCTCTTGAGGCGTCCCAGAGGCGGCGCAGGGGGAGGCGGAGGCGGGGAGACGTGGTGGGGGGGGCGGAGGGGGCGGGGAAGGGGGAGGGGGAGAGGGAGGGGGACGGCGAAGGGGAGAGAGACCGGGACGGGGAGGGGAAGGAGGTAAAAGAAGCTATGGCGGGGGTTGTTGCCAGGCATGGTGGGGAGAAGGGGGGAACGGCGGGAGAACGGGGGAAGAATAGGGGAAGTAGGACGGAGGGAGTTGGAGCGAGAATGGGGAAGGGGAGTTTGCGAGGGGAGGCAAGGGAGGATGTGGGAGAAGGAGGCCGGGTTATGGACTCGGGGAATGTAGAGGAGGAGAGGGAGTGGGAAGAGAGGGAGGAGAGGGAGGAGAGGGAGGAGGATAGAGAGGAGAGGGAGGATAGCAGCTGGACAGACCATGCAAGGGGCGTTGGAATAAAGGGAACAAGAAAAGAGGAGGAGAGTTGGGAGGAGATGGAGATTTGGGAGGAGGAGGATGAGGAGGAGAAGGAGGGAGAGATTTGGGAAGAAGAGGAGAAACAGGACGACCTAGAAGGGGAGGGGGAGCAAAGTCCAGACGAGTGCGAGAAAGAGGTGAGTGAGGTGGGCCCAGTGGGTATATAGAGAAGAGAGTGTTGGAAAGAGAAAAGGTGGAAGGAGGGGTAGAAGATGTAGGGTGATATGCAAGGCATGGCGAGGAGAGGAGAGGAGAGGAGAGGAGAGGAGAGGAGAGGAGAGGAGAGGAGAGGAGAGGAGAGGAGAGGAGAGGAGAGGAGAGGAGAGGAGAGGAGAGGAGAGGAGAGGGGCTCAGACGCCACTGTCCCCCTCCTCTGCACATCGCGTGTGAAATTGACTGGTGCTTAGCCTGCTCTAGTGCGTTTCGGCCTTGCTGCCTGGCCTCTCCTTCCTTTGTTCTCTTGGCTTCCCTCACAAGCAGTTCTCATCCAAACCCGCGCCCGCACCCCCTCGCATCTCCTTACCCACGTATTCCGCACCCATTTATTCCCCACCCCCTCCCCTTCCCCATTCCTCCCTCCCTTCCTAGAACCTTGACACCTTGTCTCACCACACAGCACCGCCCCCCACCAGTCCCACCACCACCTGCACCGCCACTCTGGTTCGGGACCTCTTCTCCTTGCACCTGACCTCTGAGGGCCTCCCACCCTCCATTGCTGCACAGGTGAGATCTCCCGTTCCTTCTTCCTCACTCTCGCCCACTCCCTTTTCCTCTCCCTTTCCCTCAACCTTTTCTTTCCCCTCCCTCCCGCCCCTTCCCTCCCTCATGCCCCCTCCTCTCTCACTCCTTCAATACCCCTGCACCTTCTCTCTCCCCACTCACTCAACACCTCTTTCCATCGTCCCCCACACACTTTCCTCAATGCGTCGTTAGCCCTGTGTAATGAGGTGACTTTTGAGTCGACTCAAAAGTCATGTGTCAATTGCCCTCTATAAAGATGCTCCTTCAAAAGAGTAGCTTCTCCCAGAGGAGCTTCGATGTGTGCCTGCCAGAAGAGCCGGCCGGCACACTGTGGGAGGAGTTCTTCATCGACTGCCATTGTGTTTTTTTCTTTTCCTTTTCCTTTTCCTTTTCCTTTTTCTTTTTCTTTTCCTTTTTCTTTTTCTTTTTCCTTTTTTAGTCGATAAAGAATTCCTCTCACATCACAGTGTGCCGGCTGACTGTTGGAAAGGTGCATGCCTTGCACCATCCATTCACTCCGTACAAACCCACCCAGCTTATTTCCCCAAACCCCTCCCACTCCCCCTCCGCCTCCACCCCCCCCTCCCACTTCCCCTTCCCCTCTGCCCTCCTCCACACCTTCCGACCCACCAGGTGGTGAGCAGCATGCCTACCGTCAACTCTCTCCATACATCTCCCCTCCCCCCGATTTTTGAGATATCTCAATAGTCGCACCATCAACTCAGTCCCTGAGCAGCATGCCACCACACTTCCCTCCGCTTCCCCACTCCACCACCCTTGACTCGACCCACCAGGTGGCGGGCAGCATGCCGCGCACCATCCATTCGCTCCTAGCAGAGGCGCGGCGCTGCGACTGGGTGTCGTACTCTCCCGCTGACCCTCAACTCAACCAGCACCCCCTCCCAAACCCTCCAGGTGGCGGGCAGCATGCCGCGCACCATCCACTCGCTCCTCGCAGAGGCGCGGCGCTGCGACTGGGTGTCGTACTCTCCCGCTGACCCTCAACTCAACCAGCACCCCCTCCCAAACCCTCCAGGTGGCGGGCAGCATGCCGCGCACCATCCATTCGCTCCTAGCAGAGGCGCGGCGCTGCGACTGGGTGTCGTACTCTCCCGCTGACCCTCAACTCAACCAGCACCCCCTCCCAAACCCTCCAGGTGGCGGGCAGCATGCCGCGCACCATCCACTCGCTCCTCGCAGAGGCGCGGCGCTGCGACTGGGTGTCGTACCGCCTCAACCTGCCAATGGCTGCGTCCCTGTCCTCGTTAGTGGCAGACTCGCTGCAGGTGCAGGGGCTTCCTCGGATCGTGGTCATGCTTGTTAACATGGGCTTGCAGGTGAGCCGCATGCATGCACTTGCATATGCACATGCAGACGTGTACATACATGCATACACACGCGCATGCACATGAGCATGCACATGTACAAGCACAGGTGCGCGAATGCGCACGCGCGCGCGCGCGCACACACACACACACACATTCTCACATGCACACATCAGATCACGACCTTTCTGCACCCTTGCACCTCTACCCACAGATTCGTTGCAACTCAATGGTGTTTGAGGCGCCTCAGAACGTCTCATCTCACGCGTACTCACACACTCACACGCACTCATCGCACTTCTTGAGCCCACTTCTGGGTAGTATTTTCACCGCAAAATTGCGCAACTCTATGGCTCACACTCTGTGAAGATTGTGAATTGAACAAGTAATTAGATTAGAGGAACAACCTAGCATACATAGTTGGAAGGGAAGGTTGGAAGGGAAGGATGAAAGTGACCATAGGTTGGGTTGACCTCACTTGGGGAAGTGAGGGAACCATAGGTCAAGTGGGTTGGGTTGCCCACACTTTGTAGAAGTGAGGCAACCCTAGGCCCACTTGGCTTGGGGTAACCTCAATTGTGGGAAGTGAGGTACCCACAAGTCAAGAGGGTTGCATTTGGGGGCTCCACCACAATTGGGTGGATTGGCACCCCAAAGTGCAAGACTACACCCAAAGTTGGGTGTAGTCCCAACCCAACTGTACACCACAATTGGTGTACAGTCACATGTGTTGGCATGCTACACAATATATATTTTAACACAACCCCTTAGCATGCTAACACAAGAAGAGAACAACCCCTGAATCAAGGGGCGCCCGGGCGAGCAAGGCCAATGAGGCGGAGGAAGGCAGAGTGCGCGGGGCGAAGGAGGGCCTTAGTGAAGATGTCGGCCAAGTTGGCCTCGGTTGCAATCTTGCGAACGGCAATGAGGCCCTTCTGGACGAGCTCGCGAACGAAGAAGTAGCGGAGTTCGATGTGCTTGGAGCGGGCGTGATAGACGGGGTCCTGAGTGAGATGGATGGTGCTGGCGTTGTCGCACCAGAGAGTGGGGCACGTCTGGGGGGCGCCAAGCTCCGCAAGAAGGAAGCAGAGCCAGCGCGACTCCTGGGCGGCCATGGTGCCAGCGTAGAGCTCGGCTTCGCAGGTGGAGAGAGAGATGGCGGAGGAGCGGGTGGAGCGCCAGCTGATGAGGCCGCTGCCAAGGGTGAAGCCGTAGCCCTGGGAGGAGCGGCGGTCCGGCTGCGTGTCAGCCCATGAGGAGTCACTGAAGCCCGAGAGAAGGGGACGGGAAGGGCCGTCGAGGGTGAGGGCAAGGTCCCTGGTCCCGCGAAGGTAGCGGAGGACCCGCTTGGCAGCTTTCCAGTGCTCCTCAGAGTGACGACCGGTGCCGACAAAGCGAGCGAGCACGCTGATGGGGTAGGCGAGGTCGGGGCGGGTGCACATCATTGCGTACATCAAGGACCCAACGAGCTCGGCATAGGGGTGGGGGGAGGAGGTGGGGGAGGTGGGTGGAGCGAGTTGGTGACCGAAGGGGAGCGGGGTGGAAACAGGCTTGGCTTGCGCCATGTCGAACTTCTCCAAGACCTGGCCGATGTAATGGGACTGGGAGAGGGTGATTGTGCGAGCAGGGCGGTTGCGCGTGATGGTCATGCCGAGGTAGTGAGTGAGGGCGCCAAGGTCCTTGCACTTGAGCCGCTGCTGCAGGGACAGCTTCACCTGCTCCATGTCGGCCTTGGTGTCAGAGAGCAGGATCATGTCGTCGACATATACCAGAATGAAGAAGCGGCGGGGGGAGGAGCGGATGAAGAGGCTGGCGTCGGAGTGGGAAGCAGAGAAGCCGAGGGACCCCAAGGTGGCAGCCAGCTTCGCATGCCACTCACGCGGTGCCTGCTTCAAGCCGTAGACGGGGCGACGCAGCTGCCAGACAGTGTTCTCAGGAAAGGCTGCGTGGAACCCGGGGGGTCGCCGGAGGAAAATGCGCTCATGCAGGTCGCCCTGCAGGAACGCATTGGAGACGTCCATGGAGTCGATTTCCATGTCGTCACGTGCACCAATGTCCATGGCGGCGCGAAGGGTGGGTGGTTTGGCGGTGGGGGCGTAGGTGAACCAGTAGTCCTCAGCCCAAGTCTGCGTGAACCCCTTGGCGCAGTAGCGGGCCTTGTACACTGGTTCCTCGCCCGGCAGCTGCTTCACCCGAAAGACCCATTTGCCGTCAACGAGATTAGCGCCAGCAGGGAGGGGGACATCGACAAAGGAGTCGTTGCGAATGAAAGCCTCACACTCCAGGAAGATCGCTGCTATCCATTTATCCGCATCAGGGCAGGTGATGGCTTCCTGGAAGGTGGAGGGAGTGAAGATGGTGGGGGTAGTAGTGGCGCCAAGGACAGGAAAGCCCAGGAAGTCAAGGTAGAGGGCGGCAAGGAATGGAGTGTGCTCCCGAATGTTAAGAAACTCCTCATGGGAGTCCTCAAGGAGCTGAATGGAGGCAGGAGGAGGAGCCCCAAGGATTTTGTCCACAGAGCGGGTATGGATGTAAGGGAGGAGGAAGGGGGAGGAACGGGAAGTGGCACGACGCCGCTGCTGCTGCTGGTGCTGCGGAAGCTGCTGCCCTTGTTGCTGCGGCTGCGGCTGACCGTGCTGGTGCTGCGGCTGCTGAGGCTGCTGAGGCTGCTGCTGCTGCTGCTGCTGCTGCTGCTGTCCCGGCTGCCGCTGCTGCTGCTGCTGCTGGCCCGGCTGCTGCTGCTGCTGCTGGCCCGGCTGCTGCTGCTGCTGCTGCCCCGGCTGCTGTCCCGGTTGCTGCTGCTGCTGCTGTTGCTGCTGCTGCTGCTGATCCGGCTGCTGGAAGGAGGGAGAGGGAGAGGAGGAGGGAGGGGGGGGGGGAGGGGGTGCGGCCGAGTGAGCGGGGGAAGCGGGTGCGGCAGGGTCGTAGACATCGGCGGAGGAGGAGGGCGGGAGCGGAGCTGCGGCGGGTGGGAGGAGAGGGGCTGGAGGGAGAAGGGGCGGGAGGACGGTGTCGGTCCAAGCAAGGGGACGAGTGGGAGGAGGGAGAGGATCAGGGGGAGGAGTGGAGTAATAGGGGACGGATTCGTCGAAGACGACGTCGCCGCTGCGGATGAGGCGATTGGTGGGAGGGTGGAGGAAGAGGTAGCCTGGGGAGTCGCGATTGTGCCCAAGGTAAACGCATTCCAGGGCGCGAGGAGCAAGCTTGCCAGCGGCGCGGGAGCGGTCGGCGGGTGGGATGAGAACGAAGGCCTTGCAGCCCCAAACGCGAAGGCCGGCAGCGTCGGGTTTGGCGTTGGACCAAAGCTCTGTAGGGGAGGAGGAAGGATGCTGAGGGTGGGAGCGGAGATTAAGGAGAAGAGCGGCGTGGAGGAGGGCATAGCTCCAGAGGGAAGGAGGGGTGGAGGCATGAGCAATGAGACAGCGAGCTATCTTGGTGATCTCACGAATGCGGCTCTCAGCAATGCCGTTCTGCTGAGGGGAGTGGGGAAGGGTGGAGGTCTGTTGGATGCCGTAGGTGTTGCAGTATGTGGCAAGGGTGTTATTGATGAACTCACCCCCACCGTCAGAGTGAAGGCGGCCGATGGGGCGTTTGAAGTGATTGCGGCACTGTTCGGCCCAGTTGATGACCACTGCCGGCACCTGGTCTTTCGTGTGAAGGAAGAAGGTGGTGGAGTACCGGCTGTGGTCGTCAACGAGGACGAGCATGTACCGATGCCCCTGGCGGGAGCGGATGGGATAGGGGCCCCAGAGGTCCATGTGCACAAGGTCAATGGGGGCGGCGGCGAAGGTGGGATGACTGTGGTGGGGGGACTGTTTGAGCTTGCCGTGAATGCATGAAGGGCATGGGGGAGAGGGGGAGGAGGGGAGGGGAGGTAAAACAGGAGGAAGGCTGCGGAGGAGGCGAGAGGTGACTGTGGTGCGAAGGGCGGTGAAGTTGGGATGGCCGAGTCTGTGGTGTAAGAGGACAGCAGGGTGGGAGAGGGTAGTGGAGGAGGAGGGAGATGGGGTGATGGAAGGAACGGGAGGGGAGGAGGAGGATGGTGGGGAGGGAGAAGAGGATACTTGAGGGGGAGGGGAAGGGGGAAGTAAAGGAGGAGGAGGTGGACCGGTGGAAGCACCGGAACGAGTGGTGACGTGGCAGAAGGATGGGCGAGGCGTGCGGAGTGTGTAGAGGCGAGTGCGGGGGCAAAGCGGAATGCGGAGAAGGAAGCGACCGGAGGAGGTTTGGTAGAGATCACAGTAATTGGCATAACCGGGGTAAATGGCAGTGATACCAACACCTTGGAGCTCACGGTGGGAGAGGAGGTTGTTGCGGAGAGTGGGGATGTGGAGACCTGTGACCTTACCGGAGGGGAAGGCAGTGCAAGGGAGGGTGGAGAGGTGAGTGCATGGAATGGAAAAGCTGGAATCAGCCCCATGAACCTGAGTGGGAAGTGGTAGTGGGGTGAGAGTGCCAGCGTCTTTCAGTGCGGTTTCAGTGGCTCCACTGTCAAGGACAAAGTCCAGGGTGGGAGAAGAGGGAGGAGGGGGTGGGACGGGGTACTGAAACGAAGTCTCATTGATAGCAGAGGGATACATGGCAGCGACGGACGGTGCAACACTGATATTACCAAGGAAACTACCAGAAGTGTCAGGAACACTGGGGGGGGCAGAGGGGAGGGAACCCCAGGGGGGAGGAGGAGGAAGGGAGGTATGAGCGGCCATGGCCGCTGTGCCGAAGGTGAGTGGCTGCTGCTGCCAGGGTGGGGGAAGGAACTGCTGCTGCTGCTGCGGCGGTGGCTGGAAGAACTGCGGCGGCGGCGGCTGCTGGGGCTGGAGAAACTGCGGCTGCTGCTGCTGCTGGTGGAAGTACAGGTGCTGCTGCTGCTGGTGCTGCTGAAACTGCTGCAGCTGTGAGGGTGGGGAGGGGGTAACCATGCGGAGGTGAGCAGGAAGGAACGAGGGGAGGGTTTGGATATCCACTGAGGAGGGGCGAGGTGTGACCGAGTTCCAGCGAGGAGGGGTGCCAGTGTTGCCGCGATCAAACCAGGCGTCGTCGAGTGCCTTAAAGCACGTGGTGGGGGGATGGTTGGTCTGGCCGCAAGGGGTACCTGCATGGGGACCATGGCGACGCACATATGTGCATGGGGGGAGAGTGCCAGGGCGTCCGCCTCGAGTCACAGCACCTCCAGCAGGGGCGCTGCCAGCACCACCACCACCGCCACCACGGCCACCACGGCCACCACTACCACCACCGCCACCACCACGGCCTCCACCACCACCACCGCCACCCGCTCCACGGCCTCCGCCGCCGCCGCTGCGACCACCCTGGTTGCGCGGCTGCGTAGCGTTGAGGGAGGTGGAGGAGGAGGACTGAGGGGTGGTAAGGTTGACAACGGGGGTGCGGAGCTTGACCTCCGTGTCAATGATCCACTGGACCACGTCGTCGAGGCCGGCCATGGGGTTGGCCTCAGTGAAGGCATGGAGGCGGGACTCGTAGTACGGGGTGAGGTTGTAGAGGAGGCGGTGGATTTGCAGGGGCTCGGGGAGGGCAGCTTGGCGTGCCGCAAGGCGATCAGCGACCTCCTGCATGCGCCCCACGTAGTCAACTGCGCCATCACAAGTGGCGAGGGTGATGGAGAAGTACTCCTGGAACAGGGCGCCGACAGAGCTGATGTCGCGACGCTCGAACATGGCCTGGAGCTCGGCCCAGATGAGGGAGGCGCGCATCTCGCGAGCTTGGAAACGGCGCATGAGGGTATCAGGGAGTGCGCTGAGGAGGATGGTGCAGGCGCGGTTGTCAGCAGTGGCCCATGCGATGCTCCGAGGGAGGTAGTCCGCCATGGCCGTATTGTACTCATCAAGGAGCGCCAGGCGATTGGCGCGTTCCGCTACCGTGAAGTATTCGCGGCCTCATGCTCCGCCTTGCGGATGAGGTATTCGCGGCGATCGTGGAGAAATGCGGCATCGGCGGCATCTTGGAGCGCTGGGGTAGTGGCGATCTCCAAGGTGGGTTCAGGAGGAGGAGGACCAGGAGGAATGGGGGGTGGAGGGGGTTCGCCGGGGTGATTGGGTGCCGTGGGCTGGAGGGCTTGCGGGCGGCGGAGGAGGACGTCAAGGACGCAGTAGGGTCCGACGAATGCATCTTGGAGAACACGGCGGATGCTCCCGACGAAGGAATGCCAGTTGATCGCCGAGCGGTCCGCGGCAAGCTGAAGCTTGTCGACGGAGGAGGCGTCAATGGGAGGGGGGAGAGGGGGAGGAGTGGTAGCCATGAGGGGCGACGGCGGGTGGACCCGCGGCGGCCTCGAGGTGGACGGCGGCGGGTGGACCCGCGGCGGTCAAGTGGGAGGGCGACGGCGGGTGGACCCGCGGCAGCCGAGAGGGAGGAGGGGGGGGGGGGGGAGGGGGGGGGGGGGTGCTGCTGCGGGGAGTGGAGTTCTTCTCCGGCTGCTGCTGCTGCTGCCGCTGCTGCCGCTGCTGCCGCTGCTGCCGCTGCTGCCGCTGCTGCCGCTGCTGCCGCTGCTGCCGCTGCTGCCGCTGCTGCCGCTGCTGCCGCTGCTGCCGCTGCTGCCGCTGCTGCCGCTGCTGCCGCTGCTGCCGCTGCTGCCGCTGCTGCCGCTGCTGCCGCTGCTGCCGCTGCTGCCGCTGCTGCCGCTGCTGGCGCTGCTGCCGCTGCTGCCGCTGCTGGCGCTGCTGCCGCTGCTGCCGCTGCTGCCGCTGCTGCCGCTGCTGCCGCTGCTGCCGCTGCTGCTGCTGAGAGGGAGGAGGGGGGGGGGGGAGGGGAGGAGGGGGAGGAAGATGGTGGATGCAGCTGCTGCCGCTGCTGTCGCTGCTCCTGATGCTGCCGCTGCTGCCGCTGTTGCTGCTGTGGCTGCTGAGCTGTCCCGGCTGCTGCTGCGTGGGAGGAGAGGAGGAGGAAAGGGGGAGGGGGAGGGAGAACGCAGGTGTAGCTGTGGGCGAAGCTGTTGCTGCCAATGACGCTGCTGCTGCGGGATGAGGCGGCTGCTACGAGGAACGTGCGGCGGCGGGATGCGCGGGTGGCGACGAGGGAATCGTGGCGGCGGAATGAGCGAGCGGCGACGAGGAGGGCGCGGCGGAGGGATGCGCGGGCGGCGACGGGGAAGGCGCGGCGGTGGGATGCGCGGGCGGCGACGAGGAAGGCGCGGCGGCGGGATGCGCGGGCGGCGACGAGCAGTACGCGGCGGTAGGATGCGGGGGCGGCGATTGTTAGGTCGCGGCGACGGGATGTGCGGGCGGCGACGAGCAGGTCGCGGCAGGAGGTCGCGCGGGCGGCGACTTTAGGTCGCGGCGGCAAGGGGTGCAGGCGGCGACGAGAAGGTCGCGGCGGCAAGGGGTGCAGGCGGCGACGAGAAGGTCGCGGCGGCGGGATGCGCAGGCGGCGACGCGAAGTCGCGGCGGCGGGTCGTGCAGGCGGCGACGCGAAGTCGCGGCGGCGGGTCGTGCAGGCGGCGACGCGAAGTCGCGGCGGCGGATCGTGCAGGCGGCGACGAGCGGGTCGCGGCGGCGGGATGCGTAGGCCGCGACGGGGGGTCGCGGCGATGGGGAGTGCAGGCGGCAACGCGAAGTCGCGGCGGCGGGACAGGAGGCGACGACGGGGCGTCGCGGCGGCGGGATGCGCAGGCGGCGCCGAGGAAGGCGCGGCGGCGGTGGGGGGAGGCGGCGACGCGACGTCGCGGCAGCGGGAGGGGCAGGCGACGACGGGGCGTCGCGGCGGAGGGATGCGCGGGCGACGCCGAAGTAGGCGCGGCGGCGGGAGGGAGACGGCGACGGGGGGTCGCGGCAGGGGGAGGAGGAGGCGGCGACGAGGCGTCGCGGCGGGATGTGCAGGCGGCGCCAGAGAAGGCGCGGCGGCGGAAAAAAGGGGGAGGGGGGGGGGGGGGGCAGCGACGGTGTGTCGCGGCGACGGGGGGCGGTGATGCACTCGCGGCGGTGGGATCCGCAGGCGAGGAGGGCGCAATCACGGCGGAGGGAGGGGAGGGCGGCGACGACGTAGGTCGTGCCAAGGAGATGCTAGGTTGAGCCACACGTAGGGGGTTTGTGGCTGTGGGGTGGGCCCATGGGGAAGAAAAAACTTTGAGGGAGGGAGAGAAAAGGCTTAGGAACAACTAGCTCTATACCATGTGAAGATTGTGAATTGAACAAGTAATTAGATTAGAGGAACAACCTAGCATACATAGTTGGAAGGGAAGGTTGGAAGGGAAGGATGAAAGTGACCATAGGTTGGGTTGACCTCACTTGGGGAAGTGAGGGAACCATAGGTCAAGTGGGTTGGGTTGCCCACACTTTGTAGAAGTGAGGCAACCCTAGGCCCACTTGGCTTGGGGTAACCTCAATTGTGGGAAGTGAGGTACCCACAAGTCAAGAGGGTTGCATTTGGGGGCTCCACCACAATTGGGTGGATTGGCACCCCAAAGTGCAAGACTACACCCAAAGTTGGGTGTAGTCCCAACCCAACTGTACACCACAATTGGTGTACAGTCACATGTGTTGGCATGCTACACAATTTATATTTTAACACACTCTCCTTCCCACTTCTTGCCCCTCCCATTCTCCCTCCATCCCCCTTCCATCCCCTTCCCACCCCTTCTCATTCCCCTCCCACAACCAGCAGCGGTGGCCTCCCTACTAGAGCGACGGCAGGTATCTCTGTCGGAACTGCAGCCATCACACCTCTCCTTCTCACCCCTTCTCTCCCTTTCCTGCCACTCCCATTCCCCTCTCACAGCCAGCAGCAGTGGCGTCCCTACTGGAGCGGCGCCAGGTGTCCCTATCAGAGCTGGTGGCAAATCTACAGTTCCTGCAAACCTTTCTCTCGCTCCTCTCCCACTCCCCTCTCATCCCCCTCTCACAGCCAGCAGCAGTGGCGTCCCTACTGGAGCGACGGCAGGTATCTCTCTCAGAGCTGGTGGCGAAGCTGCAGTTCCTGCAGAGCATTGGAGTGCGCCCGCGCTTCTTGGGAGCCGTCCTCGTGGGCTGCCCCCGCTTCCTCGACATGCCGCTCGCGCTGCTGCACACCCATGCCACGCATCTCATGGCGCACTGCTGCACCGTCAGTCTCGCAGCCGCTCTCTCACTCTGTCATCTTCCCTTCTTCTCTTTTTGTTTCTTTTTCTGTCTTTGTTTCTTTCTTTTATCAGGATATCAGATGCCATTTTTAATGTCATTTCCGTCCTACCACCACTGGATTTCCTTGACACCCTCCTGATGGCCTACCGCACTTTCCCTCCTCCGACCCGTCCATCTCATCTCCTCTCATCGGACTCACACTCACTCGCTCGTTCAACCACTCAATTACTCGCCCACTCTCTCGTTTTCTTACTCACTCACCTTGTTTGTTAATGTTGCCAGATGAGGCAATTCGCTGAAAGGCTCACAGAATGTGCTGCTTGCTCGCCCCCATCACCCTCTCACATCGTCAAACCCTCTCCCACTTTCCAAATTCCCAACCGCACGCCTTGTCCTTATGCTGTTTGCCCTCAGGGAGTGGACATCGGGAAGGTGGTGTAGGTGTCTCCTCCAGTCCTCGGCAAGGCAGTGCATGTGGGTAGAATCAACTCAAAAGCCGCCTCCCCCTCCCCACTGCCCACTGCCCACCCTGTCCTTATGTTGTGTGGCAATGTCTGATCCTATCAGGGCGTGGACATTGGCAAGGTGGTGGAGGTATATCCTCCAGTCCTCGGCAAGGCAGTGCATGTGGGTGCTTCAGGGCATGTGGGTGATGCATTGGCATGTGGGTGATGCATTGGCATGTGGGTGATGCATTGGCATGTGGGTGATGCATTGGCATGTGGGTGACTTTTGAGACGTCGCAAAAGCTTGGCAATCTCTAAAATAATCAGGGAGTGGGCATTGGCAAGGTTGTGGAGGTTTACCCTCCAGTCCTCAGCAAGGCAGTCAGCACATGTGCGCACTGCAGCATGTCTTAACTGTACTGCCTCCTGTGCTGAGATGAAATCGCACATGCCAGCATACCACCATGCCACCATGTGTACATACGTGTTCAATGAAAGCACCTGCCATGCCATGCCACGTCATTTCACACCTGAATACCACAACCCGCGTGTGATCAGTCGGTTTTTGAGTCGACTCGAATACCACAACCTGCCACGCAGCTCCCTCTTCCCGCTTTATGTACTTACTCTCCATCTCATGCTGCCCTTGCCCTTGCCCTTGACCCATTTCCCACTTTCCCCTGCCCACCTCCTCCCCTCTCCCCAACCTTCCTGTCTCCCCCTTCTCCCTCGCTTCCAACCCTCCTCTTCTCCTCGCTCTCTCCCTCCCCCTTTCACTATCTTCCCCCTCCCTCCTTACCCTCTCTGTATTTCTCTTGTCCCTTACCCAGTCCTCTTCTCCTTCCCCTCCATACTCCCCTTCTTCCCATCCCCCTGCTCACCCTCCTCTTCCAGCCATCGCCTCCCAAATCAACAATGTATCACCACTACTTGTCCCTTCTCCTCTTCTCGTTCCTACCCACGTCTTCAACCCCACCCCACCCCACTCCTCTCTAGGCAAGCGTCATCCCACTCACATCTTTCCTCCGCCACCACCTCAACATCCCCTCCACCGTCATCCCTCGCATCGTGCGCGGGTACCCGAAGCTGCTCGGCTGCTCCCTGCAAGCCAACCTGCGGCCCAAGGTGCTTGCGCTCTGCGCTGCCCTCCCCGGCCTCACACCGCCCCTGCTCGGCACCATGCTGCGCCGATGCCCCTCGCTGCTCGCCTGCAGGTTAGTCCTGCAATTCAGCTGTTTCAGTATTCCTCTTTCTCTTATCTCTTTCTCGTTCTCTTCCAATATCCCGCTCGCTCGTTTTCGTCACCTTCCCGCTCTTTATTTCTTATTTTTCTTTTGCCCAACGTCCCGTTCATGTCTCCCATTTCTCTCCCCCTTGCGCCCTCATTGCAGCATGGCAGGGAAGCTGCTGCCTGCCATTGAATTCCTCTCCACACATCTGCTTCTCTCACCACCACAGCTGCTCAAACTGGTCTCCTCAGCACCACAGGTAGAACTTGCAATAATGGACCCCCACCCACCCAGCCTTTTTTTTGCTCGACTGAAAGGTTCTCTTCTTGAGGAGGTGTCCATCATAAGCCGCTCTTCAGCTGCCTCAAAGATTCTGATAAGCCTGAGAATCTGGCAGTGTCATCGTCCCAGCACTGATTCCCTGTCATGCCATCCCATGCTGTGCCATGCTGTGCCATGCTGTGTACCAAGTGCACAGCTCTTGAAAGGAGTAGGCCTTCCTCGAACTGGGGGGCAAAACCATCAGAGCATATAGCTTGAACCACCGATCCACTTTTGAGTCGACTCAAAAGTCACCACCAGAGCATATAGCTTGAACCACCGATCCACTTTTGAGTCGACTCAAAAGTCACCACCAGAGCATATAGCTTGAACCACCGATCCACTTTTGAGTCGACTCAAAAGTCACCACCAGAGCATATAGCTTGAACCACCGATCCACTTTTGAGTCGACTCAAAAGTCACCACCAGAGCATATAGCTTGAACCACCGATCCACTTTTGAGTCAACTCAAAAGTCACCACCAGAGCATATAGCTTGAACCACCGATCCACTTTTGAGTCGACTCAAAAGTCACCACCAGAGCATATAGCTTGAACCACCGATCCACTTTTGAGTCGACTCAAAAGTCACCACCAGAGCATATAGCTTGAACCACCGATCCACAGTCACATCAATTCACGGACCACTTGAGGCAGGGACACATCAACCCACCTTGTGTAGTTTGCTCTTACGGGACCTCTTGAAAAGGGGAAAAATTGTGTCACCGCTTCATCATTGCATCGCATTATGAAATTTCTCTTGATGCGTACTACCATTCTTCTAACCACCACCTTTACCACCGCCCCACATCTCACCACCACCCTCACCACCCACGCCGCCCTTCCCCTGGTTTCAGCCCACTCATTTCCACGCACACTGCACCCGAAGCTTCTCTTCCTCTCCTCAGTCGCTACCCCAGGCAGTGAGGCTGACTGCACATTGACAGTGGCCCCCATGCTGCGGAAATCTCTTTTCGCGTGTTAAGAGGCAGCTCAGCTCAAAGCCAACCCTTCCTCGCCACACCCCCCCTCCCCACAGGTGCAAACACAGTCAGTGCCACACTCACTGCATCCCAAGCTGCTCTTCCTCTCGCACACTGTGGGTATGATATGACCCCACAGCAGCAGGCAGCCACACTGCTGCTGAATATTCAATCCGTGCCTCAAAATCAACTTATATCCAACCATTCCCCGCCACACCTTTCCTTCCCAGGTTCTAACCCAGTCAGTACCGCACACGCTGCGTCCAAAACTCCTCTTCCTCTCGCAAACCGTGGGTCTCACCGCACAGCAGCAGGCAGCCATGCTGCCTCGGCAGCCCAACGTGCTGTGCCTGTCGCTGCCCCTGCTGCACCGCAACCACTCCTCCCTGCGTGCGCTGGGCTTCTCACTCGAAGATATTCGCCGCATGCTCGTGCCCTTCCCCACGCTGCTGCTGCTCAGGTCTCTAGAGCGGGGAAGGGGGAGGAGGGGGGGGGGGGGGGGGGGGGGGGGGGGGGGGGTAGGTCCGGGTGGGGTTTGTGCCGTGGCATGGTGGTTGGTTTTGTGTTGTGTGTTTCAAGGGAATCTGCGGGTAGAGGGCAGTGGTGAGGGACGTTGGGGTAGGGTTGGGTTTGAAGGGGTTGGCTTAAGGTGGGGCGAGGGTTGTGATTTTTTTTCTCGGTTGCAAGTAGCTGGAGAGAGTGGTAGGTGTGTAAGGATGCGAAGAAAGGTGAATTCAAGTAGGGATGGATGGGTTGGGATGGGAGGGGAAGGTCCTCCTAAAGCCTCACTCAACTTGTTTTTTTTTTTGGTCCTGACACACCATGTGACGGTTGTCTCATGTTTCCAACATCATCCCTCCTCCCTCCTCCCTGCCCTCCCTCCCTTGTTCCCTCCACGCCACACTCCCACCAGTCCCGACAACATCCAAGCCAAGTGCGCCTTCCTCACAGGCCCCATGGGTCGTCCCCTAGCACACGCTGCCGCCTTCCCCCACTTCTTCGGCTACAGCCTGCACTGTCGCATCCAGCCCCGCTACAGCCGCCTACAGGCTCTAGGCGTCTCCCCGCCTCCTTCCCTCGCTTCCATGCTCTGCTGTACCGACCAGGTGTTTCAATCCAAGTGGGCTGTAGCAGCAGAGGGGGATGGCAGGGGGAGGGTTTCAGAGGATCCCCAAATTAAGGGGGCTGTAGCGGTGGAGGGGGATAGGAGGGTGAAGGGTGGAGGGGGATGGGGGAGTGTTGCGGGGAGAGAGGGTAGGGTAAGTGGGGGAGGAGGGGTGGAGTTACGAGGAAGGAAGGAGAGGAGAAGAGAGGTGGACGAGGTCAAGGAGGTCAAGCAAGTCATGGAGGTCAAGGAGGTCAAGCAAGTCATGGAGGTCAAGGAGGTAGGAGAAGGGGTTCTGGAATAGATTGTACTGCACTGCTGCTTTTGCGATTTGGGAAAAAAAGGGGTGGTGCTGCTCCTGCTTCTTGCTTCTTCCACTGCATCGGTCATGTCCTGTATGGGAGGCTGCAGCATCTGAAACAGTACAGGGTGCCGAGGGCAGTGTTGAAAAGATGTGCTCCTGCTGCTGCTGCCGCCGCCTCTGTCATCGCCGCTGCCGCCGAGTGTTTTCTTTTGTGTAGTTGCTGCAGCATCGACGCATGACTTGCAGGCTGTTATGATAAGCCGTCTCAGGAAGTGTTACATAGCTGGTACTCAATTTCCGTACAGTATATAGAAAGCTTGATTTTGGTCTCTTGCGCAAGTGAAAATGCTTCATTCCCAATTGAGAAATTGCACTCTCTCATCTACCTACGGTATCGACTACATTGCAGAACCAACTAGATGGGTGAAGATTGGAAACACAAAGGCGGAGACCAAGTGTCCTCCAACCATGGGCTTTGATTTGTTATAGAGTTGTCCAGTTTTCCAGGGCCGTCTGATGTCGGTTCTACTCTGAATTTTCGAAGTCGTTGAGTAATCTCACCGACAAATGGGTATCCAATCCCATGGTTTTATTATATGTGTATTGGAGAACTGAAAGTGTAAGAATTTACAAATCCTTATTGAGGCACTCGTTAGCGAGGCCATCCCGAGGGTCACGCGACGAACCTGCTGGGCCTATTTCGTCGCACCGAACCACCCCCGAGTCGCCTCCACTCCAATCGCAACATCACCGAGCCATCCTTCGCCCGACCTCTTCGCCTAGCTAGGATTCCCCTTATAAATTCCCGTCACTTTCCTTGTATCGTCATTCAGTACTCAGTCATTCTCGTTATTCGTTTTACTGCGCACTCTGCAAGTTCATTCATAACAGAAAGATATAAGTAAGAAGTACACAATCTACCAGCATTCGTAACTGCATGATTGATTCTTACGACCTCTTGCCAATCGCCCGCTCAAGCTCCCTCGCCAATAATGCATACGAAAAAATATAGCAGACCAATGAGCAATAGCGAAACGAATAGGTCGCAGCCAATGGGCGCGTCCCCTAGGTCACCCAACGTCGCCTGCCCAGTGAACTTACGACGGCATTATGGAAGTTCTGATCGGAAGCCAATGAACGAGCACTTTTGAACGCGTTCGTCTTGTTTCGCTTGACCATCTTGCGACCGCAGGTCGCTCAGCAGCAGGTACAACGACTGCATTATCCCTCCCGAGCCGCAATGTCTGACTTTTGGATGGACTGGAAGATAAATTGGAGCGGATTTGCACATTCTAAATCAGCCTTCTCCGAAACACGTCCTTCGTCATTGCAGCTACTACTACTAGCCCTGTAAGCTTATCTTATAGCTAGTTCCTTCGGTATCTAAAATAGACCCTTACACTTCAAAAGACCCTTTGAAGTATTAGCAACACCAACATCCGACCGTGCCCGCCTCCACCACGATGGCGAATAACAAGACCCTCCTGACTCTCTTTATTTCGTTCACCATCATCGGTAAGCACCTCCTATACTACTTGTAAAACGAAACTTGGGAGCCGTTCGAAGCGCAATGCGTTGGATGTTTATTCACTGTACTAACTACACCTGCGCGACCTTGTCGTCATGTTTTGATATCGCAGCATGCAGTCTCCAATCTATGGCGGCCGATAGCACGCTGTCGCTCAATCAACTTCAGGCCCAGCGCAAACTTCAAGTTGTCCCCGCTGATAATGTCCCCGCTGATAATGTCCCCGCTGGTAATGTCCCCGCTGGTAATGTCCCCGCTGATAATGTCCCCGCTGATAATGTCCCCGCTGATAATGTCCCCGCTGATAATGTCCCCGCTGATAATGTCCCCGCTGGTGACCCAGCTGATGACACCACGGATGATACCACTGATGACACGACTGATGACACCACTGATGACACTTACGATTATGATTCTGATTACGATTATACTTATCCTAAGGTGACCACGATGGTGACCGTCGGCGGCTCGTCCTACAAGTTCGATTCGCCTTATTATTGCTTTAACCTCAAGGCCAAGAACGGGCGCGGCGCAAGAGCGAAGCAGAGCGCGACGGTGTGGTGGAACGGAAAGGCGACTCCCCTTGGCAACGTGATGAAGGCCTTCCACGGTGGCAAGGGCGGCAAGCAGAGGAAAGGCGCGAGTTCCGCGCCGACCGCCGCATGCAAGGAGGTGCTGTTCTTCCCAGAGACCGACTGCGAGAGCAACGTCGTTGAGAGAATGACCAAGCCCAAGGCCATCCCTATCCGCAAATTCTTCCGCCTCCCCAAATCAACGTAAGCTCTCCGCCCGGCACTGCCGCTCCCTGCTGTTCCGCGCGGCTCGCTGCTGCTCCCTGCTACTCTGCTCATTCCTGCTGATAGTTCGTTGCTTCCTGATGCTCCCTGATGCTTCCTTATTCTTTCCATAGGAGCATATCATCTTACCCGTTGCCACGAGTCCAGTGGTTCAAAATCTGCCTTCAGCTCTGAGCTACAGTCATTCTTGTCAGAATCCCAACCACTAGACCATTGGGATAAAAGGGCTTGTTTCAGTAGCGGGTCAGTGCGCCCATAACCCCCCAGGAAAACGCGCCTGTAACCCCCCCTAGGATCGATCGGGGATCTCACAGTGTAGCTCTACTGACACCCCCCCACACTGGGAGGCCCAGGACTGAGCACAGTGGCAACGGCCAACATGTGCATACACCGGGATTCGAACCCGAGACCGCTCTGATACCACTGTTGTAGAGGACTCTCCTCTACTTTGCAGGAACTGGGAGTTGTTCTAAACGATAGAGCTCTGTCTTAGCTTTCCAACGAGCCGTCAAACACGTCGATCGCCTAAGTATTCTCCGAGATATAGGCGTTCACGTGCTAGGTGGTGCTATTGAATGCAAGTAAAGAAGCTCTCTGGAATTTGTGTTCGAATGTACCTTGTACAAAGAACTCTGAGTTTCACTATGAAACATGCATACAAGGCAAGTCAATTTATAGCAAATGCATTACATCGAACCGCACATGTAACATCGCATCGCTACACTCGCGTCGCGAATGCGCCGCGTGTAACATTTCGGTTGGGGTGAAATTCGGCCACCGAATTTCACACCGAACACACCGAATTCGCCTTGCACTTGAAGGTTGGAATGTGGTGCCGCCACGTGGCACCGAATTGTGAGTCTTCCGAAGTCAATCGGTGCAACCCCACCGATCCCTAGTCAAAGGGATCGAAGGCACCAAAGTGCCCTCGGTGGGTTGGGGGCATACAACCGCCCCACCACCGAACTCCCTCCAACAATTCTCCTAGCAAGAGACTTGCTCACCCACCCTTTGCTGCTGTTTTTCTCCTTCCATTCCCCATGGGCAGCACCAAGAAGATCCCCAAGACTGTCAAGTCCGTCGGTTGCTCTCTCTTCTACTAGTAAGTATAAGCCTCCCCCTTCCCCCCTCCTCTCTCTCTCTCTCTCTCTCTCTCTCTCTCTCTCTCTCTCTCTCTCTCTCTCTCTCTCTCTCTCTCTCTCTCTCTCTCCTCTCTGCCTCTCTCTCTACCTCTCTCTTCCCTCCCCCCTCCCTGCATTTAGATACAGCACACACACACACACACACACACACACACACACACACACACACATACACACACACACACACACACACACACACACACACACACACACACATACACACACACACACACACACACACACACACACACACACACACACACACACACACACACGCGCGTGCGCGTGTGAATTTTTACATTTCGCATGCATCTCATTACACCCTGTACACCCATGCGCGTGTCTCTTCTTCGATCCCAACCGTGCAGGCCGTTGAGAAGGAGTACATGTGGACCGATTCTGCGAGATGTTCACGGTAGCGGCTATTGTAAATCGCCACAGCTTGCTTGTCCTCTCTTCCGTTCCAACTATTGCGAATGTCCTGGTTGCCTCTTCTGGTGGGCTGGGCCTTGCTGGCTGTAATTGTTCCCTATTTTGTATAACATATGTTGAACATACGGCTGGGTTTCAAACGCTTCCATGCCCTGTGCTTCGGGGTATGATGGTGCCATAAGGTCGATAGTAGTCCTTTGGAAGTCGTGGCAGCGTCACCTCATAGCATAGTATCAGCAACTACCAGAGAGGTCTGTTGCCTCATGGGAATTGTCATTGTTGTAGGAAGAACCGTTCGCTTTGAAACGCCGTCGTGAACTCAATTCTTGATGAAAATATTTGTGTGAGGTCTTTCTGGATAGGTCTCTGAGTGACAAATCCGTAGCACCAAGGAACACAAAGATCGCCCAAGAAATGAGAACGCAATCGTCAATTATATAGGGCTGGGTACAACATTCCAGAGAGGATCCAATTCTAGTTGACGAGTGAGTTTTTATACTCAACAAGAAAGAACTCACAATAACTAGAGAAATCGAACCGCATTTGTAACCGAGCCGCGTGCAATTTCGTAACCCACCCCATTGCAAAATTGACGGTGGAATTTCGGAAAAGGAGTTACGTCCTTTTCCGTTTACATTTCCGTCCATGCATACAAGTTGTAAATACAATGGGTCGGACCAATCACATCGCGCCATTTGTTTGTGCTTTTGTTTGATTCATTCCGCCCACTTGCAAATAACCCTCGATGGTTTTGTTTCTAGCTACCACCCAAGTGCAACCCTTGACTTGTGTGCACCGCCACTCTTCCGCCCAAACTCTCGCCACCCAACCCCACTTGGTAAGGTTGGAGGGGTGTGTAGTGGGGACCACTTGGCCCCCCACCGACTTCCAACACTCCCCCTTGGTCCCCACGAGCACCTATGCATACAAGCCTACCCTAGCACAACATGCATGAAAGGTATCCCTAGGCAAAGGCTTGGTGAGGAAGTCCGCGGATTGAGCGTTAGTCTTCACGTAGCGTAGCTCCACCTCCTTGTCTTCGACGAGCTTGCGGATGAAGTGATGACGAATTTGGATGTGCTTGGTCCTTCCGTGAAGGACCGAGTTCTTGGCAAGGCTGCTTGCCGCTTGGTTGTCCACGTAGATCGGTGTGGGTCCCTCTTGCTCGTATCCTAGCTCGGCTAGGAGACGCCTCAACCACACGACCTCGGTACCACCACGGTTGAGAGCAACATACTCGGCCTCGGTTGAGCTAAGGGCAATCAAGTTTTGCCTCTTGCTTTGCCAAGCCACCGCTCCCCCAAGGAGCGTGAAGACAAGGCCCGAGGTGCTTTGCCGAGTGGAAGGATCTCCCGCCCAATCGGAATCCGTGAACCCAATGAGTGCTACCGGCCCGGCTTCATAGTGGAGCCCTAGGTGACTAGTGCCCCTAACATAGCGAAGAAGACGACGCAAGGCACGCTCATGCTCTACCATGGGGTTGGAGACTACTCTCCCAAGTAGCCCAACCGTGAATGAGCGATCGGGACGGGTGCTCACGGCGGCATACATGCATGAGCCTACTATGGAATGAAAGCGCTTGGTCTTCTCGGGATCCATAGGGACTTCCTCACTTGTAGCCAAAGGGTGGAACCCCACCTCCATGGGTGTGGGTGCCGGCTTGCTCTCGCTCATCCCGAAGCGAGCCACCACGTCCTCCAAGTACTTCTGTTGGTGAAGATGAAGAGTCTTGTGCGCACGATCGCTGTCGATGTGCATGCCGAGGTAGTATGACACGGCACCAAGGTCGCGCATGGAGAACTCCGATGCAAGCTTCGCCTTGATCTCCGCCACAAGGTCCTTGCAATCGGAAACGAGGAGGAGGTCGTCCACGTAGAGAAGGAGGACGAGCTTCTTCTTGTTATGTGATGCTATCATTTGCATTCACGTCTGTCTGCCTCCCATCACATGTTCGTGCGTTGCATGCGTGGTGTGAGCGTGTGCAAGAATTTGGGTTTGATGTGGTTTGGTTTTTCTGAGTGTGTGTGAATGTTATTTTGCTTGAGCTGATATCTGAAGTGACTCCTCTGCTCACGAGCTTTCCGACGAACCAAGTATCGCTTCAATCGGAGCACGAACAAGAAAGTCACGAACGTTGGAAGTTCGTATGCTTTTGATATTTGGTTGTGGTGACTATGGGAAGTTGTGGGGTTGACTCCATAAGACGTATAGACTTTTGGGGGTTGGGAAATTCGTCAACATCACTGTAGATGCTGCCAAGTGGTTGGGTGAAGCCAAACCAGGTTGGCAAGTGTGGCCAACTTGGGTGAGGTGGATTGTGGAGGTTGGGAAAGTGACAAAAGTAAAAGTGGGGTTGCATATGGAGAGGGGAATTGTGTGGCAAGGGGTTTCCTTGGTTGGGGACTCTCTTGGGACCTTCCCTCTCGTCCTCCTCATCCCATCCCACCTGGTTTATTGCTACTCTAACTCTCTTGTGTAGTAATTGTGGAAATTGTGAGACTATTATCATTGAGTTAAGATTCTATGGCAGCTTACCCCCTAGTTAAATTCATAACTCAAGAAATACTTCACCTCTTGATACGATTCAAATTGGGAGTTGTAGCCACGGACTAGGGCTACAACATATCTGAGTTTGGTGAAGTTTTGACCGTGAACTTTTCGTCGACGGCGTTTCTTGTGAGCGCGACTTTTCTGTCCAGAATTCTAAGCCAACGATTTTGAGAAATTTAGGCACCTAATCTTCGTAGACTCCGTCCTTAGTCTCATAACACTTGTCCCCACGGTTGAGGATGTAGAGGGCGTGATCACACTTGTCAGAATGTTGTTGTTCTCTAGCCTGCAGTGGGGTACTCTATAGCGAGTACAACCCCCTAGGGTTTCCTATATGTATCCTGCTGCTTTCTAGTGAACATCCTCCTTTGCTTATTCTCTCTTGCCTAGCTAGGGCTTACCTAGCTATGGCTCCTACTCATTCTCGTTCAGTTTCTCATGGTATCAGAGCACTCACGCTCCTGGCCTGTGGGCCCTACTGCTGCTTCCGCTGCTACTCTGTGTGTTGCACGCCCCGTGGCGTGCGACGGATTTCTCTTCCCGCCGCGCGCTCGGAGCGTGCGGCGGTTTTCTGCCCGCCGTGCGCCCCGAGGCGCGCGGCGGTTTTCTGCCCGCCGTGCGCCCCGGGGCGTGCGGCGGTTCTCTGCCCGCCGTGCACCCCGAGGCGCGCGGCGGCCTTCTGCCCCGTCGGTCCGCGCGTCGCCCCCGGGGGGCGCTTCGACGGGCGACGGGGACCAGCCCGTCGTCCCCCGTCGCCCGTCCTGGCCAGCGCGGGCTGCGCCAGCCCCGAGCGCGGCCCGTACGGGCTGCGCCCGGCCCGCGCGCGGCCCGTACGGGCTGCGCCAGGCCCGCCAGGCCC